TACAATGTTTTTCTTCACCGCCAAACACGTGGTAAATCAGCATTTAAAATAATAAATGACAATATCATTGGTGCCAGTGGGGGTCAAACCCGGGTTGCTCACATACTGTAAAATTTAGAGCGAGCGCTAACCATCTGAGCTACCATGGCTCTAACTAGGTAAGAAACATCATTTTATTTTATTACCACAGCTTAAATATTCATGTTAGGTAATAATTTTTAACTAATTCTTAATAGGTTGTTTTAAAATATATATATATATATATATATATATATATATATATATATATATATATATGTATATATATATATATTTAAGAAATTACCATTTTCTAATTTTTAAAATTTGCTCATTTGAAATTCAATGTATTGCATTGGACTTCCAAGGTGTGAATTTTAAATTTGGATTGATGCTGCATTGAGGGTATTGCCACTATTGTCTTTTCTTAGTTATTGTTGTTTATATTGCAACCAAGGGTTAATTGATATAAGGCTGGATTCCATTGTGGCACCAATGTTGAAATACAGGCTTGCTTTCAAACAATTGAAACACGTCAACTGTTCTAGTTCATTATTCCAAAAGACAAGAAAAGAGTGTGGTTAGCAAAATGATGTTGTGACCAGGATTAAGAAAGGAATGCTTTGGTGGTTTGGTCATGTAGAAAGAATGAATGAGGAAAGAGTGACAAAGCAAATTTATGTTGCAGAGGTGAAAGAGAGAGGTGTGTCAGAATCATGTCAAATGGAGGTCCATAGTCTCTACCTACCCATCTGGGTGACAGGCGTGAATGTTTATGTCTTTATGCATGTAATGCCCAACGAAACACTACAGTAGACTGTCATGAAATTATACAAACTTCAAATGAAAACTTTCCGTCATGTATGTTTTTTCAACATGTATTTATAACAGGAGAAATATTTTAACCCCCACATGGAAACACTTCTTTAATAAATTGCTAGTTGATTGATAGAGATTGAAGGGAGTTCCTTGAATATCTTAGTGGCATCTTAATTAATCTATAATTTTTTTTAAATGGCTATTTCATAGATATGGTACCTAATAATTAAGGGGCACGGCGGTTTTTAGATGATTTTTTTTAATTTAATTAATTTATTATGGCCTATCAAAAGTCCACTGTTGGACATAGATGTCCCAAATAGATGCTTTATAGGGAGATATAAATGATTTAGAATAAACTGTTTAACGTATGGTTATCATTAAAACCTATACACATATGTGTAGTTAAAATATTCAGCTTGTTCTGGTATGCTTTTGGTGGGTACTGTGGTGGTATTTGTATGTGGTTCATTGGGCGTTTATACTGTTTAGCATATAGCGTGTCGTCTTTGTATATACTAATGATGCTTGATACGCGCCTGTAATCCTCGGAGTGATAGGCTCGGATAGGGTTCCGAAAGGACCAGCTAAAATAAATGAGCTCAGATGGAAAATTGAGAATGTAGGTATTGGTAGGTAGCTAACCCATATCTTACACAATTACAAATTTAATAACCCATTGGTTGTCTTTTACGACATGCTAGGTAAGTAGCACTGTTCGCACATTCTTTTTCTGTTATAAGTGTCGCATAAACACGGAACAAAGTCCCAAACCAACAGCGAGACCAAAATTCTAGAATTGTGAAACAGCAAAAGTGTTTCACTACTTTGTTCCAAGAACATATTTTGAATTTGAGACACTGGCCGTTGTGAGACCTCTGTTCAGCAGTGGACTTGCGAAAGGCCATAATGATGATAACGACATTGTATTTAATAACACCTAATCAATTCCAGATGATTGTGAAAAAATGGAAACTGATGCTTGTAATAACGAAGTATTAAGAGAGCCCGAAATAGAGCCATATGAAGCATGGAAACGACGCATGCTTGAGGAAGCATACAAGGAGTTAAAGGAATTGCAACAATCTGAAAAAATTCAAATCATGACCCCTAGAAAATCTCCTAGGAAAACTCCACAAAAGAATTCTCCTTGTAAGACTCCCAATAAGGTTAATGGCGTCAGGTTGCTTTTCCCAAAAGATTTATGATAGTAATTTACTTTTTATATTTTAAATATTTGTGCTCCTTTAATGAGGTCTATTTTTAAAAAAATCCTTGTCAATAGCTTGCACACGGACAAGAAATATAAATAGCAAATTGAGAGTTTTAACATTACCAAAAATAAAATTGTGTGTTTTTTAATAGATTCTTTGTATTTCATTTAGTATTGCACGGACCTGTTACATATTATAAACTATGAAAGATAGAGTTTCAAAAAAGGTAAACTTACGCATTATAATGAAAATGGATATCAAAATGTTTTTTTTTAAATTCAAGTTATTTGGTATCATAATATGAAAAAAAAAACTTAAAGTCGATTTCAAAGAACTAAAAAAAGTAGAATAAGTTTATTTTTTAAAGTTGTTGCTTAAACATAGTGTATAGAAGATTTATGAAGGCCTTTACTTTTTATTTAAAGTTACTTTTTTACCCTTTTAGTGAACTATAATTATATTATATATTTTTTATAGGATAGGGTGACAAACGAGCACTCAGTCCACCTATGGTAAGTGGTTGCTGTGGCCCATACACATCTACATCTATCCTCGCTTGCGAATCAAATATATGTACTAAATTATCATTGCACTAATTTGCAGGTATTAGGCAGGGGTAATAATGGAAAACTAAAAATAATGGTAATAATTTTGTACGTGGTAGAGCCATGCTGCAGCTATATTTAACGTATAGTTGTATCACGAATGGGCCGGCTCGACCGGGGAAGGACCACGCTCTCACAGAATACCAGCGTAAAATAGCAGTTTAATGCTGCTGTGTTTCGTATTGTGAGTGTAGAGAACCGGAGACCCTTTTTACTGGAAAGGAGGCATTCCATCTAAGTCCTCACGGGTGACAACGCATCTGCATTTTGATTTTTAATTGAAGATAAATGTAGAGGTCTATGGGCCACAGTATCCACTTACCATCAGGTGGACTGTGTGCTCGTTTGTCACCCTATGCTATAAAAAACAAATGACACATAACATAACAATGTCGCACCAGCCTTTGTATACCGCACCGCCGCCGTGTACCTGCCTTCCATGATTTATTTGTTGTTATCGATAATGGCGTTGCGCCTTGCGCCCGCGCAACATGCTTACCGCCTTAGCCGGGCTGATTTATGACCCCAACTGCATGGACAAAATAATTTTACTATAAGTAATATCACAATCTCAATGTGGTCTATATATAGTTTCGTTAAAAACTTCATCCCCTATTTTGTCACTAAGGATAGTGGTGATATTACCACGTTTTTATTAAGTCACTTTCTTGTTTGTCTGTCTGTCTGTCGTACCTTGTGGAATCTTGCAACTCAAACGAGCACTGTCCGATGAGCTAGACTCTAGCTGCTAGAGACTTGAAAATTTTAATCATGGTTCAAAATTGGATGACAATATATGATATGATATGAAAAAAAAAACGTTGACTTATATTAAATATTATTAGTACTAAATTAAAATAATTTAAAATTAAACATTTTGTACAGCCGACTGCAATATAAGTTATTAAGAATAACTCAAAAACTATTAATCTGAACTTGATCAAATTCATATGGGACCACACGAGAAGTACCAGCTATCAAATAAAAAAAGAATCATCGAAATCGGTTCATCCAGTGAAAAGTTATGAGGTAACATACATAAAAAAAACATACAGTCGAATTAATTACCGTCTCCTTTTTGGAAGTCGGCAGAAAAATCATTTGATTTTGCTCCTAATTTATATTGGATCACCCCTGAAGTATTTAATAAACCTCCGCCAGGGAATGCCACAAGGCACGGTTCTGAGCCGCATGCGTCCGTCGACTTCCTACATGTCTTACCAGGTCAACGATCTGGTAAGACATGTTTACATACGTTTTGCAGAGAAATAAATAATACAAATTATACTTCTACATACACATATACAAAAGTGTAATTGGTATAATCATTTAGTTACATATCTGTGAACATATATATAATTAGATTTGTACATACATATTATAGTAAATCCAAGGAATAGTTAAATTATACCGTCTATAATATATTTTGTTTGTGTAACTGAAAAAACTTATGTTTAAGCTGTATACTTTAAATCCTTAAAATTGTTAAATCGCTGTTGGTTTATTTTTTTAAATAAATAAAAAAGACCTATTTAATAAAACACAAATCATTAAAATCGTTTAATATTTGACGAAGATATCGCGTAACATACATTCAAAAACAGCACACACTAATAGAGAACCTTCTTTGCTTGAGTCGGTTAAAATATTTACTACGCGTTCATTTCGAGTTTGCCGTCGCCAACCGTTATGACGTCACAGCTAACGATACCGTAGACAAAACTATTATTGTAAGTGTTTTAATTATTGTACGAAGTTCGATTTTTAGTTTATTGTCCTGTACAGAGAAATGGAGGGCAAGCAAGTAGATAAAATGCATATTATTGAATAATTTATTTAGTTAGTAAAGTAAAATAATAACACTGAATAGAAACGTGTCCGATGAATTAAAATATTTTTATTAAGTATAGTTTTATTATATATTCTAAATAAATTATTTACGAAGGCGCGAAAAAACTGGCAGGTAGTTATTTGTAATCCACAACTTCCATACCAGTTATTTTATCAAAATCGTTCGTCGCTGTATCACTGCCATCACTACATTCTGTGTTTATCACAAATTAACGAACGTAAAAAGTCAACCGAAACAAAAAATTAACAGTAACAAAAACAACAACAAATACAGTAACAAACAAGAGATCGCACGGGAGCACAAACAACGGACGTAGATTACATTTCAGCGTTGCTATCGGTACTATAAGGGCAACGCTTGAGGCGCGGTATGAGGGAGCGCGGCGGGAGGTACCGGCATTCATGAAGTGAACACATAGTATATATCCAACAACCTATCAACATTTTAAGTTTTTACAATACATTAGAAAGTGAAATCCTATTCTATATGGCTATGCTTTTTAATAAGTCATTGTCTTCTACAATGACGGGTGTTTTCTTAGCGATATTATATTTTGTACAATGTTTTGCGCAAGTTATGTGTACAAATGGAACCAATGTTACTAATAATAAGATAGATAATAATACAAACAATAACGAAGATATAAAATTCGACGATCCCTCTCGTCCGAGCCTGGCGTACCCTACTTCTTTGTCCTTCCTTTTTATATTTACCACCTTGCTGATTGGTGTTGTGGTGAGAGCGTTTATGCTGTGGACCGATTTTTGTCTTCCGTATAGAGTTATCATGTTCACACTTGGCGGTATCGCCGGATTCTGTGCAAATAGGTACCCCAGCTTCAAACCAGTTGTGGAGATTTGCTACCTCGAAATAGACGTTATTTTATTAGTTTTTCTGCCAGTGCTTGTGTTCAGCACCTCTTATGCGGTCGATTCTCACTCTTTTTCGAAAAGTTTCCCACAAATTTTACTTGTAGGTGTACCCGGTACTCTGTTGACATCTTTAATGTTGGCTTTCATGGCATATTATTTGATTGAATCATCATGGAATTTTCCCACTGCCGTTCTATTTGGAGTGGTCTGTGCCCCAATTTACCCAGCGGAGGTGGTGAAACAATTAAAGGAGTTGTCTAAAGGAAAGTATATTAGTGTTTTGCTACTAGGAGAAGGGTTGATAGGTGATGCAACTGTTATGATAGAGTTTACTGCAGTGTTTGCATATTTAGCTATGGCGATGAGCGAAGCATCTCAAATATCTCTTCTTCTGCTTCGTTTTGCCGGAGGTGGAATTATTTTGGGAGTAATTATGGGCAGAATAACTGCTGCTTTACTGTCGATAACATATAACGATCTTCTATGTGCAGTGACTCTAACTTTATCTGCAGCATATTTGACATATTACATTGGAGAAAAATTCTTTTACGTTTCTGGATTGTTGGGGACAGTCATAGCGGGTGTGATCATAAGTAAGAGAAAATCTGCAATCGCCGGAGAGGTTGAGCAAGTTGTGTCACATTTCTGGGGTATATTATCCCATGCAGCCAATACTTTGGTGTTTACAATGGTGGGAGTGGTTATCTTTGAGAAGGTCAGTTATGTTATCAGCGTCCGTCAGGTTTCACTGGTCTTCGTGACGTATTCCACGGTCTATTGTTCGAGGCTCATGGTTTATTCGGCAATGACGCCCATACTCAGGCATATAGGTTATGGAATATCGTGGCAGCACTCCATGGCTTGTGTATGGGGAGGGTTAAGAGGACCTCTTTCGCTATGTTTGGCATTACACGTACTACAAACTCCAGGAGTGGCCGATGCGGGTGAGGTAAGATATTTTTTGTAAAAACAATAGCTGATATAAATTCGTTTTTAAATTGGTAATTAGAAATATATAGAATTCAATGCAAAAATAATGTATAGAATAGTTAAAGCCTCGACTTCAGAAGCTGTTGTGTAAATTATTTTAATTATATTTCTCTTTTTTATTAAAAGTTTGGTATTTTGACCCTTTTGAGTGGACTAAGGATATCAAAAGCTCAAGGTAGCAACTAGAATGTTTAAATAGTTAAATTAAAAAAATTCATCCCCTATTTACCTACCCTTCGGGGTGATATTTTTTTCTAATTTAACATCAACCCTGGTATACTATTAATATCGGTTCGAAATTAGATGACTTCAAACGAAAATTGAAGTCATCTATACACTTCTTTTAAATTTTAATTATTAATATAACCTTCATATAGGCCTACTCTTTAAAGGGTTTCTGGAACAGTTTCAGAATAAGCAGAAATGTGTGAGTGTAGATTCTACACGTATCCATTAAACATTTTTAACTTTTTAAACATTTTACATATTTTTTACAAGAGGGCTGACAATCGAGCACACAGCTCACTTGATGGTGAGTAAATCCCGTGGCCCATAGATACAGTACAATATTAAAAAACTATAATAAAAAAAAAAACTAAAAACTGACATTATCATACAGTCCCACTCCCTGCTGTATAGTGCCAAGAACGCTGGCTGCTTTTCCTCTTTGATTGGCTATGCTTAGCCTTTGAGCGAGAAAATAAGGAACAGGATAAAAGGATCATTTTCTGTCCGTCCGTCCGTCTGTCCACCTATCAAGACCATTTTTTTAAGGAATGGATGAAGGTATCAAGTTGAAATATATCAAATACTAATGCCTGTGGTTCCTTGGAGGTGTTAAAGAATCAAGCTTCGAAGTCCACACAAATAAAGTCTCTTACCTTACAACCTACAATTTATGAATTTCAGTAAATTAAATATTAGTACCTATTCTCGATTAAGAATCAAAATGCATTTTCATTACTGAGGTCTAAGATGCTTCGAACTAGTTATACCACTTTTTATACGTGGTACATCCATGCTGCAGTTATATTAATAGTATAGTTGTAGCACGAATGGGTCGGCTCGACCGAGGAAGGATCACGCTCTCACAGAATACCAGCGTAAAATAGCAGCTTAATGTTGCTGTGTTTCGTATGGTGAGTGTAGAGAACCGGAGACCCTTTTTACTGGAAAAGAGGCTTTTCATCTTAGTCCTCACGGCTGACAACGCATCTGCATTTTAATTCGCAAACGAAGATAGATGTCTATGGGCCACAGCAACCACTTACCACATACATAGGTGGGCTGTGTGCTCGTTTGTCAGCCTAATTCTATAAAAAAAAAAACAGGGTCTTCGGTTCTTTACACTCATGATATGAATCAAAGCAGCATTAACCAGTTGCAGCTCTACCATGTGAGATGTTTTCCTTCACCGGCTAGCACATTTTAAATTAGTACTTAAAATATGGATTCATAATTTCATTGATACAGAAAGGAATCAAACTTAAATTGCTAACGTATTGTGAAAATTTAAGGCAAGAGTTTAGCATCTGAGCTAACACAGCTGATTACGTTACCATTACAGTCTATGTAAAGTCCACTGCTGAACATAGGCCTCCTAAATAGATTCCCTCAAAGGCTGGATATTTGCTATAGTTGGCATGTTTGGCAGGCGGGTTGACTGCCGCAGTTTTTTTATTTCAGTTAGGAAGGTGCTGCTGCACATTTTCTGGTTTGTTTCCATATTTCGTTTTTTACGACAAACTCCGGACGATATAGGGTAGTAGATATTCTTACCCGGATTTTTAAAGAGTTAACACACAGAAACTTGATGTTAAAAAATATGACATATTTTTAGATATTTATCATCCAGGCTGCTGGCTTAGTACTTTTGTCCCTGCTTATTAACGCAATTACAATGGGAAAAGTTCTGAAGATCTTGGGACTAGCCGAGATATCGCTAGCTAAGAAGGCTAATATGACGAACTGTGTTAAACGTATCATGATGACTCGAGACCGATGTATTTCAATGCTAAAGATGGACAAGTTCTTGGCTGATGCTAATTGGGATCTCGTGCAACAAGGTGTTAATTTAGTATGTGTGTCAATTACATTTTTTGGAACAATACTCAAAGCTACTGTTCGCGCCACTGCTACTATCGCCTAACGTTTATTGATGATTCGTTAATTGTTATCCAATGAGAGTACTGCAAGGCCCATTTCCGGGCTTTCCCATCTACCACATTTTATGCCTAGCATGTGCACTCGTGTGTTAACGGGGTTGAAACAAGCTCGCAAGTCACGCAACTAACCGCATCGCTTAAATCTCCCGTCAATGCCTCCTGCCGTAGTGTAATTTAGATATTGAACTACTTATACAATTAACAGCAAAGTGTATAGACATTTGCAATAACGCTATATTTTGCAAAAATCTGTGAAAGTTATATTTGTGAAGACAGCCGTGCCAATTTCCAACGCAGCCTGGATACACGAGGCCGCTCAGCCACAGCCATTCCTGTAGCCCGAATTTAGGGACATTTGCAGTATCGCGAAATAGTAAATTCGCAATGCCTCATCCAGGCCTGGATAATTAATTTTATCCACCAGCTACCTTTAAGATTTGAGTAAGGACTATAATTTTGCAAATTTAAATAGGACGTCCCCCTACTAGATGGAGTGACGACCTGGTAAGACATGCAGGTAGTCGATGGATGCAGGTCGCTCGGGACCGTCTTTATTGACATTCTTCGTGAGATGCCTATGTTCGGCAGCAGACTTGTGAAAAGCTGTAATGAATTAATGATCGAACGAAATAGCTCATTGATTCATTGCACATTTCTGGACTTGCAATTGTACTAACTTAGGACTGCAATGTTCGCTACATATAATATTAAATGGCCGCTCCTACAACTTGCATAAAAATTGGGTACAGTAGTTTTGAAGTAAAAACTTCTGTAGCCGCGTTGAGCGATTTTTGCTAGGGGAAAAACTTATGGGTTCGCATCACCGATGACCTCAACATGCTCGTATATCGTAATACCTCACGAGAGTAGTATAGCGGCCTGTGTACATGTATACGCATATATCATTGAGTTTTCACTTCTGTCGCCTCCTAGTCCTATGGCTGCCTCTGTTTTTTTTTTAAAATTAAATTGTGCTCTCGACTTGTATGGGCTGGTGATGTAGAAGTAGAAGTATATAGTGTAGGATTTAAGAGACAATTACTTTTTCCAAGGTACCACAATAAAGCATCCGTACCAAATACAAATGTCCAACCGTGACGACGACTCAGAGGATGATACTTATATGGGCTACCACTACACCACTTGTCCGGACTGTGAGAGAGAAATACCCAATGAGCCAACTAAGAAGGAATTTGCGGAGATGATGAGGTAAATGATAGGGGGTGGTTTAAGTTTTCTGTTAATATCAATTTTTCGCGCCACTTTTCCACAACCGCTAATGTGATTTGTCAATTATTATCCAATAAGAGTACTGCAACGAGTCCATTTCCAGGTTTCCTATCTACCGCCTTTTTTACATTTAGCATGCGCACTCTTGTGTTAACGGGGTGCGCATAAGTTCGCCATAAGACACGCAACCAACCGTTTCTATCTCGCGCCATCGCAGCCGCCTTTGTGTAATTTAGATATTAAACTATACAAAATTATCGTAAAGTGTATAGACATTTACAATAACTCTATATTTCGCGATTATCTCTGAAGTTTGTATGTTGGTCATTGAAACCAACACACCATTTTCTGGACCTTCTCGCCGAATTATTATTAAATAATTAACCATTAATAGTTTAATTACTTACACAGTAAAATTATACCGGTGTGAATTTAAATTATCATCAGTTATTAGAAGGTAGAGGTTTTACTAGGTGATAGAATTCCTTTTCTGTCCGGATGTCTTGGTAAGTATCACTCTGTTACTATTTCTGCCAATAATCAGCAGTGTCTGCACCACGGAGCAAATACAAAGAGGAGGTGTTGTAATTAGATTTCACTATGTAACAACGCGTGACAATTTGCGGGGTGAGGGGGTGTTAAGCCCGCCCACTTAACTGTTACTTAAATAGTAAAACTACTCGCATCGTTCCATATCGCTGTTGCAATGTTTTTTTTTTTTTTATAGGAGAGGGGGCAAACGAGCATGCGGCTCACCTGATGGTAAGTGACTACCGCCGCCCATGAACAACCGCAACACCAGGGGAATTGCAGATGCGTTGCCGGCCTTTTAAAAAGGAGTAGGCTCTTTTCTTGAAGGTCCCTAAGTCGTATCGGTCCGGAAAAATCGCTGGTGGTAAACTATTCCACAAAGAAATTGTGCGAGGAAGAAAACATCTTCTAAATCGCACAGTGGTGGACCGCCAATCATCCAGATGGTGTGGATGGTATCGGGAGTTCTGCCGCGATGTGCGTTCGTGAAATTTGGCGGCTGGGATTAATCCGAACAATTCCTCAGAGCACTCCCCATGGTAAATGCGAAAGAAAATGCTAAGAGATGCAACATCTCTTCGCAGTGCCAATGAGTCGAGCCGATCGGAAAGGACTCGGTCGTCGACGATTCGAGCCGCTCTGCGCTGGATGCGGTCAAGTGGAAGAAGCTGGCACTGGGGAGCCCCAGCCCAGAGATGGGAGCAGTATTCCATGTGAGGCCGAACCTGCGCCTTGTAAAGTTGCAGGCGTTGAGCCGGCATGAAATACTGTCCCGCTCTGCTGAGCGTTCCAAGCTTTTTAGAGGCCAATTTGGCCTTCTCTTCCAAGTGACCACGAAACTGCACGCTACTCGATATGTCGACGCCGAAGATTCCGATACTGGCTGAGGCAACAAGGGGAGTACCTTGAAACTGAGGAGATACGACAAAGGGGTTCTTTTTAGCGGTAAACGCGCAAACTTGTGTCTTCTGAGGATTAAACTGGACTAGATTTAGTCGCCCCCAATCCGAGACTTTGTCCAGCAAAGACTCGACTTCAGACACAAGTTTGTTCCGGTACTCAGTGACGTTTTCCCGAGAAATATTGGCACGGCCGGTGTATAGAGCATCACCAGTGCTGTCATCTGCATAGCAATGAATGCTGCCGGCTTGCAACATATCATTGATATGCAGAAGAAACAGCGTTGGTGATAGCACGCAGCCTTGTGGAACACCAGCGTTAATAGGCTTGTAGTCGGAGCATGCACCGTCTACAACGACCTTGATGCTCCGATCTGCAAGAAAGCTGGTGATCCAATTGCATAATTTCTCGGGAAGCCCATAGGAAGGGAGCTTCGAAAGAAGCGCTTTGTGCCAAACCCGATCGAAGGCCTTCGCAATGTCCAAACTAACGGCCAATGCCTCCCCCTTGGACTCTACTGCCAACGCCCATCTATGAGTTAAGTAGACCAGAAGATCACCAGCTGATCGACCCCGACGAAAACCGTACTGGCGGTCACTAATCAGCTGGTGATCCTCAAGGTACCGCATGAGGTGGCAGTTTACAACGGATTCCATTATTTTGGAGAACAAGGGGGTGATGGCGATAGGCCTGTAGTTGGACGGGTCTGAGCGGTCGCCTTTTTTAGGGATCGGGTGGACAAAAGCTGTCTTCCATGATGATTTCTTATATTTACACGAACACTACACATTTTTAAATAAAACTAATTTTTACGGATTTTATCGCGTATATTAACTTATTTTTAACTTATTTTTATATTCCCGACGTTTCGGGTGCTTTCCAGCACCCGTGGTCACGGGGGACTGAGTTGTTTGACGTCCTGCTGTCATAGTTAGCCCGGCTACCTTCAGTTTTTTAATATTAATTTTTGGTTCGATTTACGCAGAATGAGCTTACAGTATCTTGAAGTCTAGCAGTGGTGTACTTGGGTTTGGATTTGATTTTATTAATTATGGGATCCCAAGCAGATGGCAGCACCCATCCATCTTCTCTATTGAAATTAGGATGTTTTTTAATTTCAATAGCCTCGCGAATCATCCTTGGGAGGAATCGGTGTTCTTTTGCGAGGATTTGTGGTCTATCAAATCTAATGTAATGACGGGGACGATCCTGAACATGTTCACAAACTGCAGACTTCCCGATACGTCGGTGCTTCACGTCAGCTATATGTTCTTTAACGCGGGTTTTAATAGATCTCTTTTTTTTTTTTTTAAAGATAAGAGAGAAAGAAGTTAAAAATAAGTTAATATACGCGATAAAATCCGTAAAAATTAGTTTTATTTAAAAATGTGTAGTGTTCGTGTAAATATAAGAAATCATCATGGAAGACAGCTTTTGTCCACCCGATCCCTAAAAAAGGCGACCGCTCAGACCCGTCCAACTACAGGCCTATCGCCATCACCCCCTTGTTCTCCAAAATAATGGAATCCGTTGTAAACTGCCACCTCATGCGGTACCTTGAGGATCACCAGCTGATTAGTGACCGCCAGTACGGTTTTCGTCGGGGTCGATCAGCTGGTGATCTTCTGGTCTACTTAACTCATAGATGGGCGTTGGCAGTAGAGTCCAAGGGGGAGGCATTGGCCGTTAGTTTGGACATTGCGAAGGCCTTCGATCGGGTTTGGCACAAAGCGCTTCTTTCGAAGCTCCCTTCCTATGGGCTTCCCGAGAAATTATGCAATTGGATCACCAACTTTCTTGCAGATCGGAGCATCAAGGTCGTTGTAGACGGTGCATGCTCCGACTACAAGCCTATTAACGCTGGTGTTCCACAAGGCTGCGTGCTATCACCAACGCTGTTTCTTCTGCATATCAATGATATGTTGCAAGCCGGCAGCATTCATTGCTATGCAGATGACAGCACTGGTGATGCTCTATACACCGGCCGTGCCAATATTTCTCGGGAAAACGTCACTGAGTACCGGTAATAAAAAAAATAGTAATGTCTTTCGTCACAAGTTCCAAAGAAACAAACTTTTTCATTGATTTTGTGCCGCCCCAACCATCGCGTTTTGTGTGCAGCACGTGTGAACACACTCAAGCAGTGTAAACTATATACAAGACGCTGCTCCATTCAATTCTATAATTAACACCACGGATATCACCTTTACTTGCCCAGGTACATACATAATAATAATAATGTCCTCCTGACCTGTATTTCGGTCACGGCGGCTATTCACAACGGAGACTAGCCATCGGCGCAGGACAGGGTTATAGTGCCCGAGTGTATACGCAAGCGCAAGTGCACTCTCTATTCACTCACTCATAGTCCGATGCGATGGCAAATCTACACGAACGGAGAGATCAGGCGTAGGACCAATGGCTGAACGTGCTATCCGAGACACGGCGTCGACTTCTTGACTCTGTACTGCTACTTAGAATTATTTGCTAGAAGAACCCAATAACTTATTTTGGTCCGACCCCAGAATCCGTTACTTCATGATCAACAGCAGTGCTTACGACCACTACTAGCGATCCGCCCCGAATCCCCACATGTGATTTCTGGATCGTGATAGCGCCACCTACCGGATCCAATTCTGAATCTAAATCATCCTCGGGATGCCCGATGATGATGATGACACACAGATACTTTTATCACAATCGGTCCAGTCGTTTTTTGAGTTTTAGCGAAACTAACGGACACCAATTTATTTTTATATAAAGAGATACTTATGTGTCTCAGAAACTTGCATGCATATTATAAATAAAAGGAAGGTACATTTTGTAGGGAGGCAAATCAAAGAGTTTTGAAAGCTATGAAGATATCCTACTGGCGACAATACGAGCACGGAAAAATTAGCAAAGATGGAGTGCGGACTCTTGTCCAAGCAGTAGAGGTTGCCGCTGATTCGGATGATGGTAGAGTCAATCTGGAACAATTGGGGACTCTATGGAAGCCAAAGGTTTATATTGATATTTAAAATGAATATAATATTGTGTGGTTGTTTCGTGAGAGAATCCATTATTCCATTTCCCATCGTATGTAGTATCGTAATTAGAGGACCAAAAAGATCTCATGGCTTCAATTGATGATTTCCTTTTACAGGAAAGGGTTAACCATCTGGTGATAAGTGGATGCTGTAGCTCATAGACATCTACATCTATCCTCGATTAAGAATCAAAATGCAGACACGTTGACTGAGGACTACGATGGAATGCCTCATTTCCAGTAAAAAGGGTCTCCTCTCCAAGCTGCTGCTTCACGCTGGTGTTTTGTGAGAGCGTGGCCTTTTCCCGGTCGAGCCGACCCATTCGTGTAGCTGTAGTGTGGCTCTACCACGACCAGAGTTAGCGGTGTTACTATCTCGTTTACGCCAAACGTATGGTAATGACCGCATATTCCCTGTAAAGGGGATTTGTGTCAATGCTGCATAATGCTGCGACCTCAAATTTCTGCCACGCGTGGCAGAATGTGCAATGGAGAGACCCATATCCAGCAGTGCGATTATGTAATTCTGGTAGGTATCGTGGCTGACATAGTCTTAATGTTTGAGTTTTAGCACAAAATCAACAGAGCACAGAAATAAAGCTAGTGTGTACTTCGCTTTTCATACCTAGACGCGGCCTTAGTGCTAGGGTTGTCGGTCACGACTAACGTGAAAAAGTGGGCTTCAGAAAAGTTATAATTACTAACTAGGTATGATCATGTTGTAGTTGTAGTAGAATGTAGTAATTGTTTACTACAAGATTTTAATTAGCTTGCTTTGTTCGTATGTATGAATTTTCAATTCGAAGCTTGTAAGTATATTTTGACTTGCTTCCCGATGTTCGATTGATTGACCAAAAATTTGGCATACATACATAATATATAGCTGTATATGTATACTGCTGAACATAGGCTTCCTCCATAGATGGGATTTTGCCATAGTTGCCACAGTTGGCAGGCGGGTTTAGAAAAGGTACCGTTGGTAGCTGGCAACTGTTATAAGTACTCTGTCGCTTCATACGACACTCACAGAACAATATGGCGTAGTTGGTTTTCTAATATCTCCACTATACTGTTAATTTTATGTACTTAGGCATAAAACTAATTATGTTTGATATTTTAAAGGCATACGCAGTGTGGCTACGACGTAAGCTAGTCAAAATGATGACTCCAGAAGCAGCTACAGTCCAAATGCCCCACAACTACTGGAGACGGTTGGCTTACAGAATGGTTTCAAACGTGTGGTTTGACGGATTCATATATATCATGATACTGTGTAACACGCCCATTATATTGTGCGAAGTTGCTTTAAGATCACCCACTCACAATGTCATTTATATTATTAAGTTTCTGAATTTGTAAGTACATTTTGAATTGAATACTTACATTTATTTGTAGCTTTCATATAGGAGATGGGATATGTACCACCGTTGCCGCGCTTGCCGGGTTGAAAACTGCAGTTTATTGTTTTTATTCAGCTGTTATTAGGTAGATGCTGCTGCCCATCTCCTGGTTCAGTTTTCTTCTGTCGCCTCTTATGGGACGGTTTGGCGAGTGGGTAAGCTTACACACTATATAACTGTATAAGTATACTGCTAAACTTTGTTAGTCTGCCATTTAACTCGAAGAACGGACAATATGAAAGAAAGGTTCTCGAATTGTATCTTCATACTGGTAAACGTATTGTTGAACGACCTCCTACTAGATAAACTGGAGACCAGAGAAACACGCAGGCAGTTGGTAGATACAGGTGGCTCAGAACCTTATTTGTCGAAATCTGTGTGGGAGGCATATGCCCAACAGTGGACTCGTGGTGGACTATAGTATTATTAAAGTTAAAAAGTTTCAGCCAATGTACGTCCCATGAAATGTCCGCCGTGCAGCTCCAGTGCGTGTTGGCGAACTTCACACGTCTTCGAAATATTTTTTTTCTTATTTCTCAGACATGCAGTTTTCCTCGCGGTATTTTCCTTCACCCCGAGCACGTGGTAAATCACAATTTCATTGGGTGCCGGCGGGGATCATACCCGGGTTGCTCGCTATTGTAAAATTAGAGCTACCACGGCTTTAACTCGGTACGGTCGTAGTATTAAAAAAGTAAAAAATTCTAAGTAATGTAATAATATAAATGTTTGAAATCTCAAAGTATAAAATACTCCATTATATATTACAGATTTTTTTATATAATATACGTCTTGGAAATGGTGGTTAAAATGATGGGATTGGGTACACGCGGTTACTTCAAGTCGCATTGGAATAAGTTGGATTTTTTGATCATCGTAATGGCTACTGGAGGTAGAAAAAAATATGAATTTATTAAAAATTTTATGTAACTGTATGGTATTGTAGTATTTAACTATGTTGTGGGCCCATAAGAGAACCAACTAGGTATTCCATGATTAACGTTAGAGTTGACTGAGGGAAAAGTCTGAAAAACCTACACGCGAGGTAATTGACTGGCCAGGTTTTGATTGGATTTCAATTCAAAATGCTAAATTAATACCACAAAGTGGCGATTGATAATAATTTATAAATTGTATGTGTAGTGACGACGTAAGATAATTAACTACTCCATATCATTCCGTGAATGCCGTAAGGGGCGACAGAGCGGAGATGAGCAGCAGAAACAACCTGACACAACCCAAAATAAAAAAATGTAAACTATGCTTAGCAGGCGGTTGCGAAGCGTGAGAACTAAGGCAAATATTTGCTTTAAGAGGCTATCTATGTGGAAAGCCTATGTTTAGCTGTGGACATTTGACAGGCTTTTTTTTTATAGGATAGGGTGACAAACGAGCACACAGTCCATCTGATGTTAAGTGGTTCCTGTGGCCCATAGATATCTACATCTATCCTCGTTCGCGAATCAAAATGCAGATGTGTTTTAAGCCGTGAGTACTAAGATGCAATGCCTCATTTCCAGTAAAAAAACGCCTCCGGTTCTCTACACTCACCATACGAAACACAGCAGCTTTAAGCTGCTATTTTACGCAGGTATTCTGTGAGAGCGTGGTCCTTTCCCGGTCGGGCCGACCCATTCGTGCTACAACTATACTTTCAATATAGCTGCAGCATGGCTCTACCACGTATAAAAATGGTTATATGAATGAATAAAAAAATCGTACATATTAAAACTCCTTTAAAAACCTATTACCACTGTAAGAGGTCTAAAATAATTTGTATTTACTATTATTTACAATTATTATTATCGTTTAAAAATGATGGTACTTTTCTCATAATAAGTGATATGTAGATCTGGTGTTGGATATAATAGACGCGTTGACACCTTGGGACAAATGGCGAAATCTTAATTCGAGTGTACTCACCGCTTCCAAGTTGCTACGGACCTTACGGTTTCTTCGTTTGTGCAAGCTGGCTAGGTATTTGGTCATAATTTTTGAAATGTATTTATTTAAGAAACATAAACCGGCTATCGTCAGACTTGTTTCAATTTTGTCGTATCTAAAATACACAATTAACGATACTTAGAGTAAGGCCACACGGTGTGCTGCAGTGCCTGATGCCGTGCCGTTGCATAGTCGTATATATGTCATATATTACTATAGTGTATGATAACAAAACAGGACTTTTTCATATTAATGATAGGATTTACTAATAACTTTGTCTTCCTCCGGTACTTCATCAAAAGCCTAGGTTTTTGATAAAAAAACTGATTTTACCATAAACCTGCGACATATACAATAACAAGCTGTAGTTTATGGAACATACGAATACGATATTATGACTTCTTTCGTCGGCAGTTTAATGCTTGTAGTTCTAATTTTAGGCTAGAGCTTCCAGCGTTTTCATGTTTCCAGAGCTCTTAAGGTGGCTATTGCGAGGTATGGTGCGATACGGCAACTTGTGGGATCGGTCTTATTCAATGACTTTTATTTATTTCTTAACTAATAGGTCGGTGAAAAACTTGAGTACTATTCCGCTTGATGGTAAGCAGTGATGTAGCCGAGGATGGTAAAACTGAAATAGGAGCAGAAACTTTTATCTATATACAAATAAATAAAATTGAAGTGTCTGTTTGTAATGTCAAAATTACAGTTTTCTACTAAATACATATGAAAGTAAATACGGTACTTATAACTAAAATACAATTTTTAAAATTTTAGTCTGTCTGTCTGTTTGTTCCGGCTAATCTCCAAAACGGCTGGACCGATTTTGACGGGACTTTCACTTGCAAGTAGCTGATTTCATAAGGAGTAACTTAGGCTACTTTTATTTTAGAAAAAGAATTAGGGTTCCGCGCAAAAACAAAAACCCTAACACGCGAGTGAAGTCGCGGGGAACAGCTAGTCATAAAATATGTTACACAATTAACAACACAAAAGAAATTACAAAATTAATAGTTTGGTAGCGATCACCTCATTTCCAGGGGTTATTATCATCCATAAATTCCTTAATATTATAATAACCCTTATTAGACAAACTATGCTTAATAAAGTTTTTGAACTTTGAGGAGGTCATATTTTATACACATTGACTTAACTTATAAAAATCTATTCATTCTTACCTACATTGTAACTGGATAAATTATTCCAATTTTAACGAACAACGAACGACGAAATAAATTATTTGGTTCGAATGCGTGGTTTTGCGACCATAAAAAGGTGGAGACCGACTTAGTATCTGGTTATCCAATGGTGAAAGGGAGGATTTAAGTCATGCAACTCCTGCGCACATTTCGAAATGTATCCTGTAGAACACAGGAAGGCTGTCTACTTATATTCAGACATCGATGTATTATATGTACTACGTACTAGATTTTGCATTCCGAACATACACGTTATATATATGTTCAACTGAACTGTACTGCAATCCGTAGGTACAGTGTGTCATTTAGTGTGGTTTCAATGTACTAGTTAGTCCATAGCCTTAGGATATACTATATCGTAAGTCTATGAGTTAGTCTGTGGTTTCAATATATATGCAGTGTGGAGCGGCGCTAATAATACAAGATTTCAATATAGTGATGACCGCGCAGGCGCAACGCGATTAAATCAACTGCGCATGCGCGACTCTACTATCTCCCGCGCATGCGCGAGCACATAGAGTAGTGCACATTTTTTGTTTAGAATGGCTTCTCTAGTACGTAGTACATACATAGGCTGCCCTAAAAGTATCGGGAATGGAATATTTCCACTGTTCCTGTCATATTAAAATCTTTTTAATTGAAAACTCCTTGGTTTTAAAAATCGAATACCATTTATTTATTTAAAAAAAGATTCTCGGTCTTGTCACAAGATTTTGTCAAACTTGTTTAGTCGTTGAGAAAATGGAATCGCCTAAGGGTATTAGTGTTCTGTGAATGGAATTGACTCGAGAAAATTCAAGAGCGATGATTTATTATGACTTTCGAAGTGGTTTAACACAAAAACAGTGTGTTGACCGAATGATTTTTGCATTTGGTAATGAAGCCCCATCCAAAACCACAATTTATCGCTGGTTTGCTGAATTTCAACGTGGACGTGTCAAGCTCAGTGATGATCCCCGTCAAGGTCGTGCAAAAACTGCAGTCACCCAAGAAAACGTTGATGCTGTGCGTAAGTTGATTGAGGAAGAACGACATCTGACATACCGCGAAATTCAGGCAACTTTAGACATTGGCATGAGTCAAATACAAATAATCTTGCATGAACAATTAGGTGTAAAAAAGTCGTTTTCCCGATGGATACCGCATTCGCTCTGTGAAGAGCAAAAAGCGGCTCGCGTTACTTGGTGCGTCAGAACTCTCGAAAGATTCCACGCAGGATCCTCAAATGCTGTATACAACATCGTATCAGGTGACGAATCCTGGATATACGCGTACGAACCCGAAACAAAAAACCAGTCACGAGTTTGGGTGTTCGAAAATGAGTTAAAGCCAACAAAAATTGTTCATTCAAGGAGTGTTGCAAAAAAATGGTGGCCACGTTTGTCTCCAAAACCGGCCATGTTACGACTATTCCTCTTGAGGAACAAAGAACAGTTAATGCAGAATAGTATGCTAGCATTTGTTTGCCACAGGTCGTTTCTGAACTCCGTAAAGAGAACTGCAACCGCCGCATCATCCTCCATCACGACAATGCGAGTTCTCACACCGCACACAGAACAAAAGAGTTTTTAGAGCAAGAAAACATAGAATTATTAGACCATCCGCCGTACAGCACCGACCTAAGCCCTAATGATTTCTATACTTTCCCTAAAATAAAGAATAAATTGCGTGGACAGAGATTTTCATCACCTGAAGAAGCTGTGGACGCCTACAAAACGGCCATTTTGGAGACCTCAACTTCCGAATGGAATGGTTGCTTCAATGATTGGTTCCATCGTATGGAAAAATGTTTCGAATTTCGCGGAGAATACTTCGAAAAGCAATAAATACACTTTTAAATAGTAATGTTGTGTCACTTCGTTGATTCCCGAAATTTTCAGTGCCGCCCTCGTATAACTCAATGTATTCAGATATTTAATACATACGATTTTTAAATATAATATTTTTAAGATATATAATTACTTGGTCATTTCATCCGCAGGGTATCTGTTCCTAAGGTGATGGCTTATATTGATAGGATGATTGATATTCAATTGGCATTTGGATATGATGTAGGGAAAGTGAGTTTATTTTATTATTGTGAACTAATATTTTGTTTCATCATCATTATATCCCATAACAAGTCCACTGCTGAACGTAAGTAATAAAGTTACAGCCTATATACATCCCACTGCTGGGCACAGGCCTCCTCTAATTTCTAAGAGGGTTTTAGCGCGAGGAAATGTTGCGTTGCCGGAATGAGCGATTTCGAACTTCATATGTATCCGAACTTTTTTCTTATTTCTTTGACATGCAGGTTTTCTCACGATGTTTTCCTTCACTGCCGAGCACGTTGTAAATCAGCACTTAAAATTGCAATTAATAATTTCATCGGCGCCGGCTGGGATCGCACCCGGGTTGCTTGCGTATTGTGAAATTTACAGCGAGCGATAAGCCCCTGAGCTACCACGGCTCCAATTAAATAATGCCACAAAGTTTTGCTAACTAATAATTAACTCTTAACATAATAACGACCCCATTTAGTAGTGGTGTAAGGGAATCCACTAGCTTAAAAGAAAATAAAATTGATGTCGTCACCTGGCTGCGGCTACCCCCTATGAAGCAATGTATGGAAGAAAAATGCGCTCCTGAATACACGTGAAGCTTATAATATTCAGTAGTGGAGTTTCCTTAGGCTGTAATGAATGAATCAATAAACTTAAACGCAGCTAACCTTGATAGAATGTATTAATTTGAATTCACAAAGAATTGTAAACACGAATATTTTCAGGGATTTGTGACAGCTGAGCAAGAAGTATGCAATTTGCTGCCCCAGCTAGTAGACAATATACAAATACAAGAAAAACTAGACAGTCGACTGGAAGCTGACAGGTTACTATGTAGGCTACTAAGCCGAAGCTTCGGCTTCCGCTACCTTCGACTTCGGCTACAATGGGCTGAAGTTTTGGTCGGAGCCGAAGGTATATAGCAAGTGTTGAAATTGAACGAACCGTTACGATTGAGCGAGAGCTTGATGGACGTGGCGACACAACTTTTACCATCTCCAGATCAACTTCTAGAGATTCTAGTTTAAAATTACCTTTTCATATTATACAGGTTTTAAGCCTTCGGCCTTGGCTTCGGCCGAAGGTTGTGGCGATAGCCGATTAAAATCGGTTTCGGTATGGGCTTCGGCCAGAAATCGACCTTCGATCGGACTCTACTATTAAGAAATTGAATGAAACTACTTTTACTCATTTTTAAAATTATCAACACAGCCCTTCACAATGCTTAGCATCTGCTAAATGAAGATAGGCCTCTCACGAGGAATATTACAAAACACGGTCCTAACCTACCTGCATCCATTGATGTGGTGTTTTCCTGGATCTCTTACCAGGCGGTCACTCAATCTGGAGGACGCGGCCCTGCACTTCGCTTACCGGTACGAAACTGGAACTCGAGAACCTTCCATTCCTATCGTTTGTCGGTTCTTTGAGCTATATGGCGGACACACCCATTGCCACATTAGTCTACCGGTCGTTTGGGCGAAGTCGGTTACTCTGGTTCTACTGGGAATTTCCTCTTTGCCCTTTCGAGTCATTAGCTTCTAATAATAACTCAAGAGATGGATGAAACGACAAGTTTTTTAAGCAAAGGGTTCTCAGGCACATGGAGATTGGGGGCCATAACAAAATAAAAACATAATTGTTGAAAGATAAATTGATTTTATAATCCGAAAATAATAATATTTAATTATAATAATATTATTTACTTGGTATTATTATTATTTATTAGAGCCATGCTGCAGCTATATTAGTAGTATAGTTGTAGTACGAATAGGTCTGCTCGACCGGGGAAGGTCACTACCGTAATATGGCATCTTGACACTGCTGCGTTTCGTATGGTGAGTGCAGAGAACCGGAGACCTTTTTTACTGGAAAAAAAGCATTCCATCTTAGTCCTCACGGCATGGCCATCTGCATTTTAATTCGCAAACGAAGATAGATGTCTATGGGCCACAGCAACCACTTACCACATACATAGGTGGGCTGTGTGCTCGTTTGTAAATCATATCGTTTATATATCTATAAAAAATATATATAAATAAAACTAATTTTACGGATTTTATCGCGTATATTAACTTATTTTTATATTCCCGACGTTTCGGGTGCTTTCCAGCACCCGTGGTCGCGAGGGACTGAGGTGTTTGACGTCCTGCTGTCATAGTTAGCCCGGCTACCTTCAGTTTTTTAATATTAATTTTTGGTTCGATTTACGCAGAATGAGCTTACAGTATCTTGAAGTCTAGCAGTGGTATACTTGGGTTTGGATTTGATTTTATTAATTATGGGATCCCAAGCAGATGGCAGCACCCATCCATCTTCTCTATTGAAATTAGGATGTTTTTTAATTTTAATAGCCTCGCGAATCATCTTTGGGAGGAATCGGTGTTCTTTTGCGAGGATTTGTGGTCCATCAAATCTAATGTAATGACGGGGACGATCTTGAACATGTTCACAAACTGCAGACTTCCCGATACGTCGGTGCTTCATGTCAGCTATATGTTCTTTAACGCGGGTTTTTATAGATCTTTTTGTTTGTCCTATGTACGAGAGACCACATTCACAATCCAGCTTGTACACCCCTGCATCTTGTAAAGGGATATGACACTTGACGTATGGTAAAAATTGACCAATCTTCTTCAGCGGCTTGAAGAATGTTTTAATGGAAGCTCGCTTCAAGATGTAGCCAACCTTGTCTGTGACTCCTCTGACATAGGGTAGTACAGCAGGCACACGTTCACTCGGTCAATGTGACGTAGGCGCGGGACCCGAAGCTTGTTGTCTTGCAGTACTTGCTCGACGTGCTGAAGCTCGGCGGCCAGATGTTTTCTGTCACAGATCCCTCGTGCTCTCTGAAACAAAGATTTTCCCACGGTAGCTAACTGTGAAGGATGATGGTGAGATTCACCATTTAAATATCGGTTGGTATGGGTATTTTTTCTGTACACAGTATGATAAATAGTGTTATCAGGATTTCGGATGACTAAAACATCTAGGAAAGCTAAAGTATTGTTTGCCTCTAACTCTATTGTGAATTGTATTTTAGGGTTTATGTAATTAAGGTGCTTTAAAAATGAAGTTACTTTGTCAGATCGTAAAATTGTGAAAGTATCGTCTACGTACCGCTTGTAGAATCTTGGATTTACAAGAGCAGTAAGAAGGGCTTTCTCCTCAAAGTCCTCCATGTATATGTCGGCGACCACGGGAGATACAGGTGAGCCCATTGCCACTCCGTATACTTGCATGTAGAACTCTTCTTTCCACAATAAATAGCCAGATGTGAGGCAGTGTTTTAGTAATACTGCATATTCTGTGGGCATGTTGTTATCTTTTAGCTTTCTAGTAACAATTGAGATGCAGTCTTCAATAGGTAAGCATGTGAATAGTGACTGAATATCAAAACTGACCATAGTTTCATTGTTAGCGAGATGTAGGTCTTTTATCTCACTAACAAAATGGTATGAATCCTTTGTGTGTGCTCTGGTATGTTTTCTTAGTGGTGACAGTATTTTTGCCAAGTGTTGAGCCAACTTATAAGTTGGTGAATCGATCTGGCTTACTATAGGACGTAGTGGAGCGTTTGGTTTGTGTATATTCGGTAACCCATACAACCTCGGTGGTTTGGCACATGATGGTATTGTCGAATTCACGTCGAGATCTAATTTTTCGGAGTATTTCTTTATTAAATCAGTAGTTGTTTTGAGTGTATTAGTTGTAGGGTCTATTCTGACCTTTTTGTATGTACTTACGTCCGATAAAAGTTGTTGTATTTTGAAATTATACTCTGACGTGTCCATTATTACCGTAGCATTTCCTTTATCCGCGCGGAGAATCGTGAGCTCTGGTCTGTTGCGTAAGTTGTACAACGCTTTAAATTCGTCTTTGGGGAGATTTAGTTTCGGCGCTGAACTTCGACGTAACAAGGACGAAATGTCTTGACGTATAGCCTCTAAATCCTGTTTACCGATATTATTCTTAAACAGACAATCCTCAACACTACGGATAATTTCCTCGTACGGGATTTTTTGCGGCGGAAAATTCGAGCCTTTCGACGGGTGCTGGAAACGTCGGGAATATAAAAATAAGTTAATATACGCGATAAAATCCGTAAAATAAGTTTTATTTAAATGTGTAGTGTTCGCGTAAATATAAGAAATCAAATATGTACAATATGGAAACGGCTTGCATAATATGGCTAAATTTTTGTCAGACGTTTCGGAAGATATCAGGCTGGAAGTCCTGGGCTCTTACCCCACGTGTCTCGTGAAACTGCTTACGCCCCATCACTAGACTTGATAAGAGTTACCAATGTTAAAATTCTACTATAATCAGATTAACGGTGACGCGTCAGCTGGGTTTATTACAACGTGATAGGCCTTGGACTGCCATAACGGTGAAGACACGTCAAGCCACTACTTCCACTTTAAACATAATGATTTTGGACACTATGCAGCTGAAGGAAGAGGGTAATGTATGAATTATTATGTTACGATTAAAGCTGGTCTCGTCAAATAAAATTTGTACACCGTCTGCTACCGGCCAAACAGTAAAATCCAATAAACAAATTATGCTTGGAGCAAGAAAATTCAATAGTGTATTCGTCGTTGTAGGGTTCCTTGATGAAATGGAAAATCGTTTGTTGCTAAATGCAATACAAGAGAAAGTTCAGTTGTGCCAACATATACGGAGTCCAGTACCTATTTTTATTTATTATTATTATTCTAATGGCTGATTTTTCAATAGTCGGATATACTGGTATAATAGTCGAATAGTCGGATTCAATATAGTCCAAGACATCAGTCTTGGACTATATTGAATTCCGTAGTTCTACTGCGGATAACTTCAACCTACTCAAGGCCATTGGAAAGATAAAATTACATAAGTTCATGAAACTGAAACTCTCGAACTTGATTTGTTGGGCGCTTCATTGAGTGCAAGGCCAAAGAAATTGCGAGAAGTTAGGTGTCCTTGTACAGGTGCGGAAATACTTCACGCTGGGACAGTTGCTTATACACTAATTAAAACGCATGTCCGGTCGTACATAGAGTGTTGCTGCCAATAAGAGCTGGTGCCGCAAAATGCCATCTAGCGGATTTGGCTTTAATTTGTACTCAATGGAAAGGCAATATTTTTTAAAGACAATTATTGATAAGACCAATGTGGTGATAACCAAATTTTCCAGTCTCGAGAATAGGCGCAAAGTAACCAGCCTTTCGGTGTTTTACAGGATACATTTTGGAGGGGGTACGCAGGAATTAATTAGGGTTTAATTACTCCACCTCCATTCTATCATTGGAACACCATAAGTGAAGCTCGGCTGGTTTCCACCCTTTTGTTGTCGACATACGAGTACCAGTGCGTGTTACCAGTGATGACTTACGGATCTGAGAAGTGGTCCTTCACTGTTGGCCGTATGAGTAAGCTCAAGGTCGCTCAGCGAGCTATGGAGAGGGCTATGCTCGGGGTGTCTCTGCGTGATAAACTTAGAAATGAGGGTATCCGCAGTAGAACCAGAGTAACCGACATAGCCCAACGGATTAGTAAGCTGAAATGGCAGTGGGCCGGACATATAGCTCGAAGAACCGACAACCGATGGGTAAGAAAGGTTCTCGAGTGGCAGCCTCGTACAGGTAGGCGAAGTGTAGGGCGACCCTCCACTAGATGGAGTGACGACCTGGTGAGACATGCAGGAAGTTGATGGATGCAGGTGGCTCAGGACCGTGCTTTGTGGCATTCCTTGAGTTGAGGCCTATGTTCAGCAGTGGACGTGTGAAGGGCTGTAATGATGATGATGATGATACGAGTACCACGCATTCGAACCAAAGGTTACTTCGTTGTTTATAATGCGTACAGGAAAGGAGTGGAATATTTTGCTAGCATCTGTCTTTACATTCGATTATAATGTGGGTATTTTCAAGGCAGGTGTGAATAGGTTGCATCACCATTTACAGTTAGGTGAGACAGTAGTCAAACACTAGATTACAGTACTTAAAAATATAGAAAAAGTTCTAATGCGGCAATGAAACTTTTTTGTAGGGTTCCTCGATGAAATGGAGTATCGTTTGTTGCTAAATGCAATACAATCGAAAGTGCAGACGTGCCGACATAAAGGGAGCCTTGTTGCTCCTTCCACGCCTGAGGTAAATTATGTATAAACAATACTAATGTTAAAAACTCGCTGCCCGCGTTGTTATAAAATGGGGAAACAGGACGCCGCTGTTTGCGCTGTCTGATGCACTTACGGGCCTTATGGTAGGCCTGTCTGAGGTGTCGTCCTAATACAACGCGATTACGCGTTCATCGCGCGAGTAAGCGATGCGACCATCGCGTGCTCACGCGATGTCGAAAACTGAGTGTCCTAATAGTATGCGAATATGCGATCATCGCGCTTCGCTTCGCAGTTTGCGCATGGCATTGGCGCTAAGCATGGACGTCAGAAACACCCAGTCTTTATTTTCTGGTAATATATAGATGACCTATTCTGCTGGTCTAGACTGTAATGAAAAATACGAAATGGGTCGCAACGTGCTTTGTTGGAAATGAGACCAATACGTGGTGAATTTCACAATCAATATAACGGGTATTCCTGCCCTTCATCCCGCTGCCCGAGGATACGACGCGAATGTCAATTAGGACACCTATTCGACAGCAATATTTTTGATCGCGCGTTCGTACGAACTAAGTTCGCGCTAACAGAGTTTCAAACATTAAGTCGCGCGACCCCATCGTGGGATTGCCAATTAGGACACCTATTCGAGATCAGTATGTTTGATCGCGTGTTCGTACGATTAAAATTCGCGCGAACTTGCGATGATCGCGCAATCGCGTTTAGGACGACGCCTTACGCGGCCGGCGAGTGTTTAACATTAGTATAATCACGTTTCCGTATAGAAATGACGTAAGAGAATCCACCGTCCTATATCATCTTAGGAATGTTATAAGAGGCGACAGAGGGAAACTGAAACAGGTGAGTATATAAGCGTGAAATAGCAGCTTAACCCATTCGCTGTCCCGTGTACTACATTGCTATTGTCTTACTATTGTGTCTGGAAATCGGACAGTGAAACTGTTAATGCCGCTGTATTTCGTATTATGAGTATAAATAACCGAAAAACCTTATTACTGCAAATGAGGCACTCCACCGAAGTCGTCAGAGGTGGCAGCACATTTGCATTTTGACGCTTAATCGACTGGGGTGACAAACGGGCACAGTCCACCTGATGGTAAGTGGTTGCTGTGGCCCATAGACATCTACATCTATTCTTCATTACGAATCAAAATGCAAATGCGTTGTCACCCGTGAGGACTAAGATGGAATGCCTCTTTGCCAGTAAATAGGGTCTCCGGTTCTCTACACTCACCATACGAAACACAGCAGCGTTAAGCTGCTATTTTACGCTGGTATTCTGTGAGAACGTGATCCTTCCCCGGTCGAGCCGACCCATTCGTGCTACAACTACACCTACTACGACTATAGCTGCAGCATGGCTCTACCACGTTACAATTGTCTGCCACGTTATAGATGTCTACGAGTATAGACCACAGCATCCACTTAACATTAGGTGGACTGTGTGCTCGTTGTTTTACATTCTAAGTATAAAAAATGTCAATAATCAGCAGTACACATGTGTCATTCATTTATTTCTAGTGACACCATCATTCAAGTATTAATTCGTCTTACGAACCGGGTCATTTGGGTCGATCATTCAATTTAGTTTCAGTACTCTGTGGTCTGTGAGACTTGCTCGATAATATTGGTCGTTGGATGTTACTATAATAGTAGGGTTGTAGGTGCTGTTAATCGTTTGATGCGGTACGTTTAATAAATGTATTTGCAATGCATTTACATTTGATGCGAAACGGGTCAAATGAACGAATCATTCACTATTGACACATGCCTTATCAGCAGCATCCTAAAAACAGCTCAAAATATTAAAAAAATACTGCTGATGTTAACTCACCTGCCATGCATGGTAAATATGGCAAACATACCTTCTATATGGCATGGGGAAACGGTGGTGGGTAGACTGTAATGAATGACATTTGAGACTATTATCCTTTACATTTTGTTGAAGTCTAAAATGATGTCATCCTATTCTAGGTAATGATCTAATCCAAAAAGTATTATTTTTATTTTTTGCAGACTCAACTGCGAGCAATATCCTGGCTACAAGGTAACGAGAGGGTCGCGGACTTCTTTCTGGAAAATTCCGAAATATTGAATTATAATTTCAAAGACATTCTTCTATCGCGAGGTTATTATTAGTTTCTGTTTCATTTCTATAACATTAGTGCTAAATAATTATTGTACTTAAAAGTTTATTTTACAAATCTTTGAAGGTGAACCACATTACAGTTTAGGTGGACTTTAGACTATGTTAACCTTAAAAAATCTGCAGCGCTATCACATTCGTATTACATTTAATTCGTTAAAGAACAGTAGGTTTACACAACGTTCCTTCGAAATATGATACCGTATGATATTACATTTCGATATGATAGTGGAACACTTGCAATTGCGTACTTTTATGCCTCTCATATTATTCGACACTAATATACGTTGTTCGTGTATGACTGCCTTATTGGTGTGTAGTTATTGCTGCTCATGAGGTCCGAATGGGTTCGAATCCGCGGGCTAAAATCATTTATAGGGTTTTCTGTTAAGAAATTCTCAGTAGTTAGGAAGTTGGCGGTGTTTCACTCCTGTGCCTCGGAACGCACGTAAAGCCGTTGGTCCTGTCCCTGATATCTCTCCAGTCGTGTCGAATTACCGTCCCATCGGACTACGAGAGAGGGAATAGAGAGTACATCTGTGTTTGAGCATTTATTTTGGCACTGTAATCCTGTCTTGCGCAGATGTCTAGTCTTCGTTGAGACCGGCCGCCGTAACCGAAATTCGGTCTGGAGGGCATTTTTAATTACCTACGTTATGCGTTCCTCTCCGACTCAATCGAGCTCTTACGTCACCGGACGATATTTGTTCGTAGGTTATGGAAATCTTTTGAGGGTGCGCGCTGCCAAACAAAATTTTAGTACACCTATAAGTTCAAGAGGAAGTAAGGCCTCCTGTAGATGGTAGTGTAGCGGGTGGAAGGAAAAGGGGAGATCTCCCGCCGGGCAAGGTGTTCGGCCAACGCTCCGAGTGGTAGTTCCGAGCTATTCTATATATACTGCTTTAACTTCGGAACTTTGTTAGCGCGATTTAGGCTTCGATGTGTTTCGCTTGTGGCGCGACGACAGCGCCGCCACAGTAGAATAATCATATCATTTAAGACAGGTCAAAGATACCACGACTGTCTACGAGTCTACGCGACAACTGGTAGTAATTTCAATTTTTCCGTCAAATTTGTATAACTTATGGTGAAGTCTTCGTAGTTACTACTAAAAAATAAAAAATACGGTTGCCAACCAGCCTGCCAAGCGTGGCGAATATAAAAATATCCTCCCTATGAGGCAATCTATGGGAGTGGCTTATGTTATGGTTACAAGCGTGCAAGACGTCTGGTGTTAAGATCATCAGTCCACCTATCAAGCGTAGTGATTATGGTACATCTGTCCTACAACGAAAGAGGCTCACGTTTTACGGGCTGGTGAAGAAGAAGTGGTGCTGTGGTACAATTGCAATTTATTTATTGAATAAGGGTGTGACAAACGAGCACACAGCTCACATGATGGTAAGTGGATGCTGTGACCCATAGACATCTACATCTATCCTAGTTTGCGAATCAAAATGAAGATACGTTGTCAGCCGTGAGGGCTAAAATGGAATGCCTTTTTTCCAGTAAAAAGGGTGTCCGGTTCTCTACACTCACCAATCGAAACACAGCAGCATTAAACTGCTATTATTACGTTGGTATTCTGTGAGAGCGTGGCCCTTCATGCTACAACTATACAATTAATATAGCTACAGCATGGATCTACCACGTAAAAATGTTGTGACGGTGTAAGTATATCCATTAGGTACCCCATATCATCCTATGACCGTCATAAGATATGACAGGGAAGCTGAACCAGGAGATTGGCAGCAGCATCTTCCTGATAACAGCTGAAAAAAAAACTGCGGTTATCAATCCGCTTGCCGGGCGTGGAAACTATGACAAATATCACCCTTGTGAGGATATATGTGGCGGATGGATGCCTGTGTGAGTATGTGATGAGGAATCGAAATGCAGATACGTTCTCACCCCTGAGGAGTTTACAGGCAACGCATTGCTGCTTGATACCTGAAGTAAGGATATTTCACGTCATGAACACAGCATTATGCTGCTATTTTTAACCGATTTCGAAATGGAGGAGCAGTAGCTCTTTTTGGGTACAATTCGACTGTATTTTTATGTGTAGTCACCTTTTTTCTAGATGAACAGATTTTGATGATTCTTTATTTATTTGAAAGCTGGTGCTTCTTATGTGGTCCCATATAAATTTGATCAAGGTCTGACCAGTAGTTTTTGAGTTATCCTTAATAGTTTATCTTGAAGTCGGTTGTACAACATTTTTAATTTTACCACTTGTAATTTGATATAATGAAAGCGTAATCCTTCCCTGATCGAGCCGATCCATACTTGCTCAGCCATGACATAGCCGTCGCCTGGCTCTACCACTACCACGTTAGGTAAATAGTCTGAAATGCTGCAAGAACGATAAGGTAGGTTATTGCTAGGTTACCTTCTGTAGCCTTCCTATAGGATGATGATGATGATGAGAGGGTATCTATATATATTATAATATGTATAGTTTGCTGGAGGTGTCCATGGACTATACTCGTACCAGCCGCTTACCATTAATTGGACTATGAGTTCGTTTGCCACTCAGTTTTATAAAAATTAAATAAAGAATTTTCAGCAGTGCACAACTTACAACTTCAATTTTGTTGTCAGGTGATGAGCCAAAAGGCCTGTACATTATCGTATCAGGCCTGCTAGAAGCAACGTACGAGCCCCCAGAAGGTGATTTCGACGAAGCAATTCCCAACTACGAGTTTCTGAGTGACTTGAAGTTCAACGACCCAAGTCAGGATTATATAGTTTCGGGAAACGCTGTTGGTGTTCTAGGGGTTAGTTTATTTATTTTATGTAATATGGAATCATTACTTAAACAAAATGTACAAAGAATTTTACATGTCATGAAATATCATCAAAAGGTATTTTAAAATAATAATAATAATGTTTATTTCTCCTCACAAAAATAGGCAATACATAATAAAACTTATATATATTTAAATACAGGCAAAATATTTTAAAACTATTGATATTAAGAAAACTGCAAATCTGTGGGGGATTTCCGTTAAGCTTATTGCGTCTATAATAGATATAATTGCGCCTCATCTAGCTATTTCGAGTATTTTTAATACTAGTATCGAATATGGTATGTTTCCTGATTTAATGAAGCATAGTAAAGTAATACTTTTATTCAAATCTGGTAGTACATTAGACCCTGCCAATTTTAGACCAATTTCTGTACTGCCAACACTTAGTAAGATTTTTGAAAAAGATATCCTTGATCAAATGTAATTTTTTTTTAATGTAAATAGTTTACTTCATAAAAATCAATTCGGTTGCTGGTGTTGCGCTGATTAAATATATTTTCAATGCATGAGAGAATTCACAGGATGCTTTGGGTATAATTTGTGACCTATCCAATGCCTTCGATTGTGTTCACTATGAAACATTAATCAGGAGACTATAACACTACGGTGTAAGAAGTACTGCTCTTAAATTAATTGTTTCATATTTAAGTAACAGAACGCAAAAAGTTGTCATTAATAGTATGAGCACTTCCGGATCGATAGTACAAATGGGTGTGCCTCAAGGCTCAAGTCCCGGCCCCTTTCTGTGTCTTGTATATATTAATGACTTACCTTACATAGTTGAGGATAACCATAATATAGTATTATTTGCTGATGACACTTCATTAATTTTCAAATTAAAACGACAATTATTAAAATATGACGAAGTAAATAATGCTATACCTAAATTAGTAACTTGGTTTAATATTAATAACTTGCATTTAAATCCACTAAAACGAAATGTATGAAATTTATGATTCCAAATGTCGAACAATTAAATACTAATGTAATTTTAAATGGGGAGGAACTGAGTCTTGTTGATACCACCATTTTTCTTGGAATAACACAAGACGTGAAGCTTCAATGGAGTCCCCATATATCAAAATTAGCAAGCAGATTTAGTTCTGCAGCATATGATGTAAAAAAGATTAGAAATCTTACCAGTGTGGAAACAGCTAGACTTATTTACTTTAGCTATTTCCATAGCATAATATCGTATGGTATTTTGCTGATTGCCGATTTCAATGATTCTTTTTTTTATTGAAAGCTGGATCAAGGTCTGGCCAATATTTTTTGAGTTAGTCTTAATAATTTTTATTGAAGTCGATTGTACAAAATTTTAAATTTTTAATTATTTATCTTTTAAATTCAAAATGCGTGGTTATGCATTATTTTAACTTATTTTACTGCGCAGGCATACATTCGTAAAGGTCGATCGGTAGGCAAAAACGTTGTTGCCCATAAATCACATTCAATTTGCGATAATTTCAAATAAAAGTAGAAGTCGTATTTACTCGTATTTTCAAAATAGTAATAACGGTATATCATTGCTTATATATATATTTTGAACTTAAGTTTAAAATTTTACTACTCTTTGAAAAATAGCCCGGTATATTGATTAATTGTAGGTATTGTATAAATAGTTAGGTATCACATTTCTCACATGAGTACCATTTTTAATATTTTTTCTGTCCGTCTGCCTCGGCTAACCTTTGGAATGACTGAACCGATTGTAATGAAATTTGACGAACAGCTTAATAGTAATGCCAGGATCTAGGCTATATTTTATCCAAATAATTTCGAGATTATTTGAGTAATCGAATAATCAATAAAATTCATAGTCCTACATAGATCCCACCCAGGCGAAGCCGGGGCGGGCCGCTAGTGTTGAATAAAGTACTTCAGCCATATTTTCGCTCCAGGTCCTCACAAACCGTCCATACAGTTACACAGTGCGGTGTGACACGGCAGTGCAAGCGTACTTCATCAAGATGTCCGTGATCAAGGAAGCTTTTAACCTATCGCCGCACCCCATCATGGGGTAATAAATTATTAATTATTTGTCTTTCAATAAGTATTCTTCTATTGTATATTTAATAATAATAATTATATTCCATTCTATTCGAATACTTTTTTATTTGGTAACAAGGCATTCTATTATTTTCCTTAGGATTGACAATAATTCTGCATTTTGATTATAAATCGAGATGTGGGTAAATATGGGCCACCTCCACTATTTTTTTTATAGGATAAGGGTGAAAAACGAGCACACAGTCCACTTGATGGTAAGCAGTTGCTGTGGACCATAGATCACACATCTATCCTCGACTACGAATCAAAATGCAGATGCTTTATCACCCGTGAGGACTAAGATGGAATACCATGTTTCTAGTAAAAGGGGTCTCCGAATCTCTACACTCACCATACGAAACACATCAGCATTAAGCTGCTATTTTACGCTGGTATTCTGTGAGAGCGTGGTCCTTCCCGGGTCGGGTCGACCCATTCTTGCTACAACTATACCACTATATCATATAGCTGCATTATGGCTCTACCACGTATAAAACCAGTACTTACCACCACTGTGTGCTCGTTTCTAACCCTTACTTCCAAACAGATGTCAGTTTTCGGATTCTATCGCCATTGTTGAAATGTGCTAGAAGAACATTATTATTACAATTAACGGCCCTTACCTATACATAGATACATATAAACAAAATTGAAGTATCTGTCTGTAATATAGAAATAATTTCATTGCAACCCTTCACAAGTCCACTGCTGAAGACAGGCTTCCCCTCAGGAATGCTTGCTGCCTCCATCGACTTCCTGCATGACTTCCACCAGGTCGTCACTCCATCTAGTGGGGGGTGGGGTGGGGGGGGCCTTATAATTCGTCTACCGGTACGAGGCTTACGAAGCTGCCACTCGAGGGTTTGGGTCCCGGGACGGCTCGTGTCACGAAGTCCCGGGACTTTTCGTAATTTTAGTTGTCTCGATTCCCGGAACTTTTGGGTCGAGACTCGAGACGAGACAAGACTGTCGAAATTGTTATGTAATCATTTTTATTTTCAAATAATTGAAGGAGCCTAGGGCCACATGAGTAAAGAAACCGACTTTACTCTGTGCTAGGGCCATGTGTTGAATGAATAATTACTTGGTCTACTACGTAACTACTGAGTACGCAACACATAAATTAAACAAATATGTGATTATGAGAATTAACAATGAGATTATGAACAATGATTAGATACTGGAATTACCAGATAATAGTAAAATTATTAAGAATTAGTAAGATTTTTAACTAAGTTCGTTTCATAACTATAAGATTTAACTGTTTAGAAGTGCATCTGTGTGTGACTAAAAGAAATAAACAAAGCAATTGTTAAGACTGAAATTAATGTTAAAGTTATTTAATTTTCTGTTAAATCTATACTTATAATAAATCTGTAGAGAGGTCAATTCTGTACATGAAATATATTTCCAAAATAACTATCAGGGGGTGATTAGTGATCGATACTGATGCCAAAAATGTAAACAGTAAAATTTTTGTCTGTCTGTCTGTCTGTATGTTCGTTATAGAAACAAAAACTACTCGACGGATTTTAACGAAACTTGGTACAATCATTCTTCATACTCCTGGGTAGGTTATAGTGTACTTTTCATCACGCTACGATCAATAGGAGCAGAGCAGTGAAGGTAAATCTTGGAGAAACGGGAAAAATTATTCCATTTTTTAAGCTTCCGTCGCGTGTGTAGCCTGAATGGTTAAAGCTACACAGAAATCATGTATAACGGAAATGTTCTCCTTAAAATTATATAAAAAATATCCCACGACAGCATATGTCTATCTTTTATGGTTGACTCACAGTAACACGTGTAACTCCCGATAGCTTAGCAGTTTGGAGCTTTCTGATTATATTTGTCTACTCTTACGTTTATAACACTCTCACTCATCCCTAATTAAGAAAAGTTAACATTATTATCTATTCAATAAAAAAGAATCATAGACACACCGGCACCAGACCACCAAACAGTCACCGTCACTCTTCTAGGGTAACTTTTCGTTTAGGGCATTATTTAGGTTAAGTTACTTTTTAACCTGTATAATTTAAAAGTTACGTATTACCTAATTGTTCAGTTTGGAGGCAGCGATGTGGCGCGAGATAGGCATTAAGCTTTCATTGATGGTGCTGCCCAGCGTACCCGCGTACCACGGCTGGTCGGTGGAGCGGCTCAGCATGCGGCTGGAGCACGCTTTCGTGCCCTGTCTAAAGGCATTCAAGGTACTTTTATTATCTTTAAATTTTTGCTTAACTGTAGCAGTTTTTCTTGTATCGAGACGTTTTACAAACATATTGCATATAGACGAATGCCCATATTTATTGCAGGACGAGTATTTGAGATTTAGATGAAAGTTGGGTGTGGCAGAAGAAGCATGAGAGTAGAATAAATGCTGTAGAAATGCGGTCATATTAGGAGTATGTTAGGGATGAAGCTGAATGACAGAGTGAGAAATTGTTTAAAAAGAGAAGAGTGTGGTTTGCAAGATGATGTTGTGACCAGGATTAAGAAAGGAATGCTTCGGTGGTTTGGCCATGTAGAAAGAATGAATGAGGAAAGAGTGATAAAGCAAATTTATGTTGCAGAGGTGAACGGCATAGTCGGGAGGGGTCGCCCTAGGCGAAAGTTTATCGACCAAATTGGCGATGTATTAAAAATGGGCCAAATCAAGAGTACCTTTAACCGACGAGCGTGTATGCGTAGGTATATGGATGTGGAGGAAGCGAGAGAGGTGTGTCAGGATCGTGCCAAATGGAAGTCCATAATCTCTGCCTACCCCTCTGGGTGACAGGCGTGAGTGTTTATGTTTTATGTATATTTCAATTATAACCAAACTCTTAATATATACTCTTTAATTTTAACAAGATAAATATTAAATATGATAAATATTTATTCATATAAAAGATATACTTTTAAGTAAAATACTATCTTTCCTTTAAAAATGGAGGGGCAAACAGGATGTTAGTAAATAAAAACTCTTGTTTTGAACCAACTTATTTTATTTAAAAGAAATTAAACAACTAGATACTTGTAATTAAATATTTAAGATTTAGCCATAGCTGAAAGTTATACATTTAAAATAGTCGAATAAAAATATTCCAACTAAAGTTTATAATACAGTTTATGTAGGAAGATATTGCTTGGTAATATGATATCCTCAATTTCAATGAGTTTCTAAAAATAAAATATGTCTCTTATATACATTGGTGCTGTAGTGTGGTGTGTAGTAGTCGTGTAAGTTCTGATCGACTTTTTTTTATAGAATAAGGGCCGATCACACTGTCGACCTCATAGTAAGTGGGTGCTCACACCTATAGACATCTACATTAAAATTAAAAGGGAGATGCGTTGTCGTCCCCGAGAACTGAAATGGAAAGCTGGTAACGCACCAGTAATAAGGGTTTCCAGTTTTCTTCTACACTCATCATACGAAACACAGAATCATGCTGCTGTTTCACGCCGGTGTTCTGTGAACGTGTGGTCTTTCGCCGGTCGAGCCGACCCATTTGTGTTGGAGCTATAATAAACCTTGATCGAATGAGGTCATATTCGAACAATATATTATATATTTTGTCGAGACGATGTTTCTTAGCTGTACTAGGATCTGATAGGTGGCGTTGTATGCAAGTCGTTATTTTTACGTGGTACATATCCTATAAAAAAAGTAATCATAAAATGTATATTTATGGACCAAAATAGCACAATATACGTTGGTTTAGTGCCAAAAAATAGAAAATTACGAAACATAGATCCGATAAGTTTTTTTTATAGGATAGTTTGACAAACACGCAGTCCACCTGATGGTAAGTGGTTGCTGGGACCCATAAACATCTACATCAATCTTCAGTAAAGAATCAAAATGCAGATGCGTTGTCACATGTGTGAAACGAAACACAACAGTGTTAAGCTGCTATTTTACGCTGCTATTCTGTGAGAGCGTGGTCCTTCCCCGGTCGAGGCGACCAATTCGTGCTACAAATATACTACTAATATAGCTGCAGCATGGCTAGAGCCAGATGGTAGACCACGTAACAAAATTGTGAAGTGGCTACATTGTTTTACATGATAATATTCTTGTTAATTTATTTCTTAAGGTGTTCGTAGTAAATGAGTTGATGGAAGACATAGTTCTCATTGACGGGATTTGCCAGGACATGTCCACTCGAGAAGTTTTCCAACCGCCATGTTATATACCGAGGTGAGTTACGTACCTACTTCTTCTCCTACGTCAGTCCGGAAAAGTCCACTGCTGGATATGGGCCTCTACAATTTTAGGAAAGAAAGTTAAAGTTACAGCCTATATATGTGCCACTGCTGGGCACAGGGCACCTCTCATATCTGAGAGGCTTTTAGGGCAAGGAAAAGTCCACTGCCTGTTGACGAACTTCACATATCTTGGATTGTCAATCACAGTACCAGAATCTCACATTCGTCGCCGCCAGTCTAGATATTTTACATGCGGCGTCGACGAGATGGTTTATGTGGCGACGAGTGGTGGTGCCGTGCTACAGCTATATTGTGTTTGTAACTCGAATGTGTCGGCTCGACCGGGGGAGGACAAAGCTAAAAAAGCAGCTTTATGCTGCTGAGTTCCGTATGGTGAGTGTACAGAACCGGATACCCCTTTTTACTGGAAACTAGGCATTCCATCTAAGTTCCTGAGGACTAAGATGGAATGCCTCGTTTCCAGTCCACCCCAGCCGCAACTTAATTTTGACCGATAGTCTGAACTTTAAATGAGACAAAATTACTTTTGACTAAGAGCGTTGGTCAGAATCACTTTTGACTACTAAAATCAGTCTGTTTTTGACTAAAGGCGTCGGTCAAAATCATTTTTGCCTGATTTTTGCAGTCAACAGTTTTTTTAACCGGTTATGAGTATTGACTGTGACAACTACACAAGTCATTCCATTTCTCAGACATGTATATTTCTTTATTAATTTCTACACCAAGGACGCTGAAATTAGCAATTGAAATCTTTGTCCTCAGAGGTGGCAACACTTCTGAATTTTGAGTCTTAATCGAGGGTAGACTTAGACGTAGAACTTAGGTCTCTCCCATAAATTCACATGGAATACTGTTCCCATCTCTGGGCAGGGGCTCCCCAGTGCCAGCTCCTTCCACTTGACCGCATCCAACGCAGAGCTGCTCGAATCGTCGACGACCGAGCCCTTTCCGATCGGCTCGATTCATTGGCACTGCGAAGAGATGTTGCATCCCTTTGCATTTTCTTTCGCATCTACCATGGGGAGTGCTCTGAGGAATTGTTCGGATTAATCCCAGCCGCCAAATTTCACGAACGCACATCGCGGCAGAACTCCCGATACCATCCACACCATCTGGATGATTGGCGATCCACCACTGTGCGATTTAGAAGATGTTTTCCCCCTCGCACGACTTCCTTGTGGAATCGATAACCATCAGCGATTTTTCCGGACCGATACGACTTAGGGACCTTCAAGAAAAGAGCGTACTCCTTTTTAAAAGGCCGGCAACGCATATGCGATTCCCCTGGTGTTGCAGTTGTTCATGGGCGGCGGTAGTCACTTACCATCAGGTGAGCCGCATGCTAGTTTGCCCCCTCTCTATAAAAAAAAAAACTCACAAAGGCAATTTCGACATAGTTGCCACGCTTGGCAGGCGGAGTGCCAACCGTAGTTTTTTTTTAATTTTGAGATGTTATCAGAAAGATGCTGTTGCCCATCTCCTGTCCAGTTTTCCTCAGCCGCCTCTTACGTCACCCACGGGACGATATGGGCCCAGTGGATATTCTCACACCGTTACGTAGGGTCATACCAAATAATTATACTATAATTCATCAGGACAGCACACAGGCTGGTATTCCCAAAGTCCTCGCAGCTGTTGATATCGAACACATGTCCAGAAACGAAGCTCCTGATTGTACCAGCCAAGGACACCGATGAACTGGACATTATGGAGGACGAAATCGACGATATGCAATGTGAACTGGTGCGTTTTCTTCAGCTCTGCTCAATCGGTAAAATCAATCTCGGCACAATCAAACGACGGTAGCCTAATGGTCATAAGTATTATAGGCTGTAACATTAACGGTCACAGTACACTGGAAACGGGACAGTAAAGTGCCTTTGTGATTGATTCAGGGTTCGGAAACGTTATTAAAAATAACGTTTTTAAAACGTTTGGGACGGTTCCTTGCATACCATTTTGTTCCGAACAAAAACGAAATGAGAACGTATTTTGAAAACGTAAAAAACGGTTTATTCCGCGGGAAGCTAAATGAATGGCACGTGCCACGACAAGTTTAAACCTACAAGGTATTTTTGTTCCGTATTGCAGGGACAAAAATATGAAAAAACGGATTAAAATGGTTAAAAACGTTTTATTGAACAAGAAAGATTTAAAATGTCGTTCTCTTCATAAACGTTTTTATTATGATTCCGTTCGAACATAAACGAAACAAATAAGTTTTTAGGTCTTTGTTTTTAGGTATTTAAGGCGATAACGTTTCGAAAAATATACCGTTATCCGAGCCCTGGCTTGATTTTGTCATATAACATTTTCTGCTTAGATGAAAACTTTATGGTAGGATCATCATAATGAACATTACACAGTTAAGTACTAAATATTTATCTTAAGGGGCTACTCCATGCGAACGACCTTGAGCATTTGACCGCTTGCTACAATATTAATATATTGTAGCGAGCGGCTCGCCGGAAGAAATATGTAAGACGCCACCTATTGTACGAAAGTAGTATTATTTTTTCAACATCAATAAACTATTTTATGGAAATACACATAGCGTACAAAGATAAATGTATTTTAATTTTTTTATTCTGTATATATTAGTTGCATTATATTAGAATTATGTATTTTCATATATTATCTAATTATGAAATTTTATAATTAATTATATATTAAAACGGAAGCATTGAAAATTGTGAGTTTAAAAGATACCTATTCACTATAGGTAAATAAATAGATAGCTCGGCTTTTGTACAAATATTTGGTGCAATAAAAAATAAATAAATAAATAGGATGTTTCGCATATGTGTTTTTGATTATTGTTAATTTTTACGTGTCACGTATTGAAAAGTTACCTACTAATTTTTGAACTTATGCTGGCAGATATTATCCTCACCCCAATGATTGATGAGGATGAAAATCAATTTTATTTCTACATACGTAATTATATTTATTTATACATAAGGGTAACTTTAATAAAGGTAATACAAAAATCAACAAGAAGTATAAGGGTTCAATCTTTCAATTTCAGTTGTAAAAAAACGTTACCCCCACACTAGGATTTTCTCCTGTGTCGTGGAGGCAGTTTACAAACATAAATTGCACAAAGACAAACATCCAGACCCGGAACAATTATTTGTAGGCCATACAAATACTTGTTCCATGCGGGATTCGAACCCGCGGCCCCCAGCGCAACAACTGATTGCTAAGCCACTGCGCCACCATGAAGCTAATACAAAGACTAACTTTGTATTTGCTTCATGGTCGCCGGGTTATAGCTAAAGTGACCATACGTCCCGTTTTGAACGGGACTGTCCCTTTTCTCGGTCTCCTGTCCCATTGTCCCCAAACAAAGCTCCGGGACACAAAATTGTCATGTAACTAGTTGGATGGAAGTATTCAAAGTCAACAATCTTCAACATAATTTTTTTTAATCGAATATATTTTATGTCTACCTGGTACGAATGCTCCGGTAGAAAGAGTATTTTTTTATTTTGCATAAATTGTGGACGTCTGAAAGAAACACTTACGGTTCCAGAGTTCTAAAGGCGATGTTGTTAACAAAGATAACAATAAAAAACTTGAGCAGAATTTTATTCTTATTTAAAATCATCACCAACTTTATTAAAGCAAATTTAATCCACTGACAAATGTAATTAATAATTAAAAAAAATATGTTGCATTTAATAATTACCGTCTATACCGAATATAATTTTATAGTGAACACTAATTGTATAAAGTTATAGTTTTTAGAGTATAAATAAACCCATGTCCTGTTTTGAGTTAAAAAATAAATGGTCAGTTTAGTCTTTTTAGTTAAATTTAGTTTTAAAAATTTTTAGTAGTAAAAAGTAGGTATATTAGTACCTACTTAGATACTTTTTACCGAATTATAAGTATAGAACACCTTATGTACTCAATTATTTTTTGAAAAAGAAGAAAAAACAAGCAATAAATAATATACTATATTTTAGCAAAAAACTATAACTTAGTAATACTAATTATAACTTAGAACAAAAATGAAAAACTCATAACTGACCTTTTTCCCGACCCAGGATTCGAACCCGGTATCTCATGATCAGAAGTCGCACTACTACAACCACTAGACCAACGAGGCAGTACTATACCTGATAAGATATTGTGGTTGGGTGATAATATTGAATTAGCCTTTTATAGTGTAAATTATAATATTTGTCGAAATTTTAATTATAGATTCGAACCTTACATGCTAATGGTGCTTCATTTTTTTATTTGCATTTACTTCAAAGAAAATACACGCAAAAAGCTTCATCGCGCAGTAAAAAACACAACAAATATATGTATAACTAATACGAAAAATTATACCCAAAACAAACAAATAATACTACCTATAAATAACCTAATAAGTAATATTATTTATCGACTGATATTACGTGAGTGTATGCGGCGCTGGTCGACGCTCTAACGACACGGGCTTCGCGTCGAAGAGCTCAGGGCTCACTGACTAAGCAAGCCCGTGAGCAGTGAATATGCCCAGATTTTAAAATAATTTCTTAATAAAATCAAATTTTGGTCTTTTGAAAAAAAATTTACTATAGAAATGTTTATTAATAAATTGCCTATCCATTGGTGTAAATCGCAAAATAAAATAATACTTACTTTACGAGGAGATCCATGTTATCAATAACAATTTCACATTTATGTGGTTTCGTTGTAAGGAGATTATATTAATATTTATTCGATTAAAAAAAATTGGATATAGCTTTTATGGAATCAAGATTATGTAGAAATATAATGTGTTTTTTATTTGTTGATATATCTTATAAATAAAAAGTAGATAGCTTCTAAAAACCGCCCAAATAACGACTAGCGCGACATTTTGCTCAACCTGCGCCTTAATTATGGTTCAAAGGATGTGATAAGCGAATAACCGCACGTTGGACTAACGCGCGCGTATTTATCTTCTAACAATATGTGCACAGCTGTTTGGAACAGGCGGTGGTTACGGTGTTTGCGAGAGAAACTTGCGAGCAAGCGTCCGCTTATTTTAGACGCAATCCGCTCCGGCTTCGCTGGATAGGGTGTATTAATATGGCGTTATTTAAATTTAATCACCAACGAGTATTCATTATATTCGATATATTTCTCAAAAAAAGCTCCAAGTTTTTAGGATAAAATATAGCCTAGATAACATTCAGCCATTCTGAAGATTATCCCGAATAGACAAACAGACAGATAGACAGTCAACATTTTTTAAAATGATTGTTCAGTCATAATGTCATGCAAATAAACCCTTTAGTTATTATAAGGCAGTTATTGCGATATTACAGAGAGACACTACAATGTTATTTACATGTATATAGATTACAGTAATTTTAGTCCTTTTAAAGCATTAACAGTGAAAACTGATAGGTATCGAACGCATCGTCCCGGTGCCTATATCACAAAGTGGCCCGGCGGCTGTCAAGTGAGTCGCGAGCGTTAACAGTGCGACGTGGCCGCGGCAAACGGCGACGAGCTGGCGCGAGACGTGTCAACTACCGAGAGTCCGTTTGGGGTAAACAGATATGTAAGTATTTTGACGAGAATACGACTTTAAATTTGCTTCCATAGTGGGAGGCAATTCATAAAACTGATGATAACAAAATCGAGGATTAAAGATGTTATAAAGTTTATTAGTTAAGATCCGCGATTAGTTAGGCTTGGAGGAGTACCTTTAAGTACAGTCACCAAATTGAAATACCTGGGGCACTGGGTTACCGGGGAACTCTCTGATGACTTGAACATTCTCCCTGGACGTCAGCAAGTCGAGTGGGCCCGATGGAGTCCCTCCCATTGTGCTGAAGACATGTGCTCCGGAGTTGGCATCGGTTTTAACGCGTCTTTTCCAGTACTCCTACTCCCAAGGCGTAGTCCCGAATTCATGGAAGACAGCCCTAAAAAAGGCGACCGCTCAGACCCGTCCAACTACAGGCCTATTGCCATCACCTCCTTGTTCTCCAAAATAATGGAATCCATTATAAACTGCCAGCTCATGAGGTACCTTGAGGATCACCAGCTGATTAGTGACCGCCAGTACGGTTTTCGTCGAGGTCGATCAGCTGGTGATCTTCTAGTCTATCTGACTCATAGATGGGCGGAGGCAGTAGAGTCCAAGGGGGAGGCATTGGCCGTTAGTTTGGACATAGCGAAGGCCTTCGATCGGGTCTGGTACAAAGCGCTTCTTTCGAAGCTTCCTTCCTATGGGCTTCCCGAGAAATTGTGCAAATGGATCACCAGTTTCCTTGCTGATCGGAGCATCAAGGTAGTAGACGGTGCATGCTATGATTTCAAGCCTATCAACGCTGGTGTTCCACAAGGCTGCGTGCTATCACCAACGCTGTTTCTCCTGCATATTAATGATATGTTGCTAACTGGTAGCATTCATTGCTATGCAGACGACAGCACTGGTCATGCCTTATATAACGGCCGTGCCAATATTTCTCGGGAAAACGTCGCTGAGTACCAGGACAAACTTGTGTCTGAAGTCGAATCTTTGCTTAACAAAGTCTCGGATTGGGGCCGACTAAATTTAGTCCAGTTCAATCCCCAGAAGACACAAGTTTGCGCGTTTACCGCTAAAAAAAAGAACCCCTTTGTTGTATTTCCTCAGTTTCAAGGCACTCCCCTTGCTGCCTCAGCTAGTATCGGAATCCTTGGCGTCGACATATCGAATAGTGTGCAGTTTCGTGGTCACTTGGAAGGGAAGGCCAAATTGGCCTCTAAAAAGCTTGGCGTGTTCAGCAGAGCGAGACAGTATTTCATGCCAGCACATCGCTTGCAACTTTACAAAGCGCAAGTTCGGCCCCACATGGAATACTGTGCTCATGTCTGGGCCGGAGCACCCCAGTGCCAGCTCCTTCCACTTGACCGCATCCAGCGCAGAGCGGTTCGAATCGTCGACGACTGAGGTCTTTCTGATCGGCTCGATACACTGGCATTGCGTAGAGATGTTGCATCTCTTTGCGTATTTTATTGCATCTATCACGGGGAGTGCTCTGAGGAATTGTTCGGACTAATTCCAGCCGCTCAATTTCACCATCGCACATCGCGACAAAACTCGCGTTACCATCCATACCATCTGGATGATTGGCGGTCCACCACTGTGCGATTTAGAAGAAGTTTTCTCCCTCGCACAACTTTCTTGTGGAATCAATTACCACCAGCGAATTTTCCGGACCGATACGACTTAGGAACCTTCAAGAACAGAGCTTACACCTTTCTAAAAGGCCGGCAACGCATCTGCAATTCCCCTGGTGTTGCGGTTGTTCATGGGCGGCGGTAGTCACTTACCATCAGGTGAGCCACATGCTCGTTTGCCCCCTCTTCTATAAAAAAAAACATTGAACGAGAACGTAGAGCGTTAGCTGGAGGTGCAACATGATAGCTCGCAGGTTTATAAGGCGTTCAAAAGCCGTCAAGAAAACCCCTTTCTAAGGCGTACGCCTTAACGTTATCAAACGTTTTACACATTTACTGCTAACGCCTGTAGAGAGCTCAGTATTATTGTTGATTCATGTAATGAGCGAGTGTTACTCGGCTCAGCTCTCTACATGAATTACCAAAAAATACTTAGCTCTCAACAGCCATTAGCATTAATACTCAGCTCTCTACATGAATTAACGAAAATACTTAGCTCTTTACAGCCATTACCAGTAACACTCAGCCACGAAGCAAACACAAAGAGGAGATGGCATAAGCAACTGTGCACTGTGATTCGAACTAGGTCCTGACGTCATCACAGTGGGCGTGGCTTTACTTAGTATACAGTCAGCATTCGTCCTGTATGCTTATGTGTCGAAAATCGCAAATCGGTGAATTTTCGTAGCATTAAGAAGAAAAGGATGAAGTGTTGTGTTTCATTGTGTAAAAACTACTCAAATAGACGCTCTGATGCTATGGACGGCATCACATTTCATTTGTAAGTAATTTTATACCTAATTTATTAAAAAGGTTCGGTTCCAGAAAAATATCTGCGTCGGCTTTCAAATGTAATTAAATATATTCGACACTAAATGGTGATACTTTGTGTCATGGGAACTAAAAATATAAAGTTACGTAGAGCTCAGTATTGGAAAAATGATCATACGAAGGTGTTGAAATTTGTTTTGCATTCAGTCCTAAAGAATTTTTAATCGCCAAACATTATTTTTATATTTTTTATAATAATTTTGTGAACAGGCCGCCATCTATCGTCAAGGTAGCTTGAACGATTCGAGTAGTTTTGCTATTTATCGGTAGATGTAGATAGTCCAGCGGGCGGGGCTTAACATCCCTTCACCCCGCAAATTGTCACACGTTGTTACAAAGTGAAATCTAATTACAACACCTCCTCTTTATAGTTGCTTTGTGCACTCAGTTCTCTACATAAATTAATTAAAATACCTATCTCTACAGCCATTAGCCACTGCTACTGCTAGTGATACTACACTCAGCTCTCTACATGAATTAATTAAAATACTTAACTCTCAACAGTCATTAGCAGTAACACTTAACCTATCTACAGCTATTAGCAGTAACACTCAGCTTTCTACATAAATTAACAAAACTTCTTATCTCTCTAGAGCCATTAGCAGTAACCCTCACCTCTCTACATAAGTTAACAAAAATAATTGGCTCTCTACAGACGGTAGCATTAACACTCAACTCTTTACATAAATCAACTATAATACTTAGCTTACAGGCATCATGAATAACATCTAGCTCTGCACACACATGCATTAACAAAACTTAGCTCTAAGGTCTATGATCACTTGTTTCATCATTTTTACATGCGTTCCAATAGTTCAAACTTAATACAGAAAATAACACCATTACACCAATCAAAATCCACTTCAAGCAAAAAGCGATCTGGCGGCGGGCAAGAACCCGCTAAAACTTCAGACTAAACCAAACCTGCACAGAACACTGATCAAAGGCACATACATAACAAAACACTACAATAAGATTTCTTTTCATTTTAGCGACACCGGCTCTACCAGGATCTCTGAGCGAAAAGGAGCTTAATTCTAAGTATTACAGACCAAGCATCGATGATTTGGTAAGTCATTTTAGAAACTTTAGCCTGTGCATTTCCGCACCTGTAATAAAGCTGTTTTATTAATGTCGGTCAATATACATTAAATAACAACTAAAAAATCTACGAGAATATAATTTCCTTGAACAATTATTGTTCTTTAGTCTGCATGCAACCCGTGCGTCTTGCCAGTGATGACCTATGGATCTGAGACCTGGTCCTTCACTGCTGGCCGTATGAGGAAGCTCCAAGTCGCTCAACGGCTATGGAGGGGGCTATGTTCGGAGTTTTCTGTGTAATGGACTAAGAAATGAGGATTTGTATATGCAGTCATCATCATCATTACAGCTCTTCACAAATCTACTGCTGATCATAGGCCTCCCCCAAGGAATGCTACATAGCATGGTCCTGAGCCACCTGCATATTTTACCAGGTCGTCACTCCATCTAGTGGGGGGTCGCCCTCCACTTCGTCTACCGGTACGAGGCTGCTACTCGAGAACCTTTCTTCACCATCGGTTGTCGGATCTTTGAGCTATATGGCCGGCCCATTTCCACTTACTAATCTGTTGGGATATGTCGGTTACTCTGGTTCTCCTGCGGATATCCTCATTTCTAAGTTTATCATGGAGAGAAAACCAAGCATAGCTCTCTCCATAGGTCGTTGCACGACCTTGAGCTTCCTCATACGGCCAGCAGTGAATTACCACTTCTCAGAAGTCATTACTGTTAATACACACTGATTGTACAATGTTGTTTTTAAATTTTGAAATAAGTATACCTAATGAGAAGATGTGTTGTAATCACTCGAATGCTGCCCAGCCGAGTTGAAGCCGTCGATTGACCTTTCGTTCAAAGTTGGACTTACCTAGTGGGACTATTTGTCCCAGGTAAACATACTCGTCAACAACTTCGAGCTTAGCGGTTCCAACAAATACCGGCATAGGTGTGACATGGACGTTACACAAGACTTTTATTTTGTCCATGTTCATCTTAAGATTTCTCCGTTAACTTACCGTCAGGAGGCACTATTAAGGTCATTGAGCATAGCGCTTAGATCTTCCAGTGATTCTGCCATAAGGACTATATCATCGGCAAATCGGAGGTGAGTGATGTACTCGCCATTGACCTTTCCAGTTCAGTAGCTTGAAAACGTCTTTCAATGCAGCAGTGAAGAGTTTCGGGGATATAATGTCACCTCGTCTTACACCTCTCTGCAGTTGGATAGGTTTCATACTATGGTTGTGTACTTGGATAGCCATCGTAATCCCACTGTACAAATACTTCAGAACTTCGATATACCGTCAGTCAACTTGGCACCGCTGTAGGGACTGCAGCATCGCCCAAAGTTCGACGGAATCAAAAGCTTTCTCATAGTCCACATACGCAAGTCAAAGTGGCAGATTGTACTCTTCGGTCTTCAGTAAAATTTGCCGAAGGGTATGTATGTGGTCTGCAAGTCGTCGAGTCTGCGTGCGAGACGATTCGTAATAACTCGAAAACAGCGCGTAGTCGCGGCTCAGAAGGGAAATCGGTCTATAGTTCTTCAAGAGAGTGTGGTGCCACCATGGAGAACGGAATTAAACAGCTTCTGAAGGACTTCAAGTACCGGTTTTCCCACCTGCTTTCAAAAGCTCCACTGTTATTCCATCTTCGCCCGGGGACTTTCCGTTTTTAAGGTGCTGGAGAGCCATTCTAATGTTGCTCAGACTGACGTCCATAATATAATCGGAATAGTATCGGATAAGACTTGCTCTTGGATTGTTACTCACACATGCGTGTGGCTCCAACGATGATGTTTACAGCTACCCATAGAACCTCTCAATCTCACTCAAAATCTCAGGTATCCCGGAAACGATGCTGCCACACTCGGTCTTCAGCTTCGACAGCTGGCTCTTTCTGGCAGACAGATTTCTGACTAAGACTGGAGTCCTGGTTCCATTCGATCGATTCTTCAATACGAGCTGTATTGAAGTTGCGTAAGAGTGTGATGGGAGAGTTTTTATGTTCTTCTGCGACGGGTCTCGCAAATATTAGCTCCGACCACATGGACAGTTTCCACGAGCTTGTCATTCATATCGTCCACTGCGTTACAGCATTCTAGACACTGAAAACGATTTTGTAACTCAAGCTTAAAGTTTCCGAGGCTTTGGATTAGGGCACGAGGGAGTTGGAGAGTTGACTTTAATAGACGTGACCTCTTCAACTTTACGTTTAGGTTCAGTGTACCTCTCATCATTCGCTGATCGCTGCCAGTTTTCACCCTCGCAATCACCGAAACATCACTGAATAGTCGCCATCTGGTCGTCATAATGAAGTCAATCTCATTTTAGTCAAACCATCGGGGCTCAACCAGGTGCTCATTCTGTGGGGCCGCTTCTGGAAGAAAGAGTTCATCATAAAGAGTTCCTCTCTTGCCCTAATCCGAATTTACCTACCTTCAGCTCACCATTTTCTCTTGTGCCTAGTTTTACTTTGGGCTCCTATTAACACCGGGTTTTGGAGGAATGCATGGTTCTAGAGATATCCTCATATATTTCCTCCACCTCCTCATCAGGTTATGCTGAAGTTGGTGCATAAACCTGTGTGACCTTCAACGAATACCGTTTGGTGATTCTGAGTATAAGGTACGCAACACTCGTCGTCACACTCCCAATTTTTACAACGTTGTTAACGAGAGTCTTTGTGACGATAAGTCCGACACCTCCTTGTTACACATGGTCGCCCTCCCGGTGATAGAACAAGTTGCTGGATTCGAGGATTACCGAGTCCTACCTCTTCGGAACTCAGATAATCCTATAATAACCCAGTGCAAATTGTCTATCTCTTCTTCCAGCTCCAGAGTCTTCTCGTCAGTGCTCAAGGTGCGGGCGTTATTGTTGCCAGGGCGAGGCGTCTTAGGTGGCAACCGAACCTCCACCGGAGATTCTTAGCACCTATATCACTTTTTTTACTAAAACTATCTTTGTTTTTGTGAACATACATTAAATTTTCGTAAATATGCTGAGAGGCCAAAGTTAATACATTTATTTATTTTGAATTTTTCGCTAAGAGATTCTCTCGGTTTAAGGTTATAAATAGCTCTTATGGCCCTCTTCTTCAAAACAAAAATAGTTTCTAAATCAGCCACATTTCCCCATAGCAAAATCCCATAAGACATTATGCTATGGAAATAACTGAAATAAACTAATCTAGCTGTCTCGACACTAGTGAGACCTCATCTTTTTTTTACAGCATAAGCTGTAGAGCTTAGTCTGCTTGCTAGTTTGGATATATGGGGGCCACTGAAGCTTTGCATCAAGAGTGATGCCAAGAAAAACAGAGGATTTAACAGGGCTCAGTTGTTCCCCATTTAAAAAGACATTGGTATTCAGATTTTTAACATGTGTTATGTAAATTTAAAACATTTAGTTTTATTGCCGTTTAAATGTAGATTTTTAACGTTAAATCAATGCACTAATTTTGATAGAGAGCCTCGCAATATAATCGTTCGTCACCCTCACGGTGATCGGCGATGGGTGCGTGGTTGGAGGGTGGGCATTGCGCGGCGGTTTGTTTTTAATTTTACAAACGGCTGCGTAAGTCCAGCGGTGATTGGTCGCATGACGCAGTCGCTCGCTCCTTAAGAAGAGAGCGGTTGCGTCATCGGTCTGTATAAAAGGCACTTGTTTTGGCTCGCCGCTCACTTAGCGGTTAGCCACCGTAGAGTCTATATCACGTGAGGATGCCTCGTATAGAGGCGAAACACGTGTCGTATTATCGTCAGTGGTGTGTCTTGCCTAGTGTAGTGGTGTTGGGAGTAGCGGTGCTGGGATTACTGGTGACGGGGATAGTGCACGCAATTGAGGGACGGTGGGAGGTGCTCTTCATACTAGGTAAGACACATCATTTTATTTTATAACGCGGATTTTTGCGAAGTAAATTTTTCTAAAAGCTTTTATATAATGGATTTCCGCAAAGTAACGCCTGATTCTATTAATTAAATTTTACACCTAATTTATTAAAATAGTTCTAGAAAAATCTCTTTGCGTCGGATTTCAAATATAATTAAATATATTCGACACTAGATGGCGTCACTTTGTGTCATGTGAACCAAAAATATAAAGGTACGTAGAGCTCAGTAATGATAAAATAATCATACGAAGGTGCTGAAATTTGTTTTGCATTCAGACATAAAGAAATTTTAATCGCCAAAATATTATTTTTATAGTTTATAACATTTTGTGGACAGGCCGCCATCTACCGTCAAGGTAGCTAAACTACATTGCAACATCGATATGGAACCTTTCGAGTAGTTTTACTATTTATCGGTAGATGTAGATAGTGTAAAGTGGGCGGGGCTTTGCATCCCCTCACCCCGCAAATTGTCACGCGTTGTTACATAGTGAAATTTAATTACAACGTCTCCTAATTGTATTTGCTTCATGGTTGACTTCAATAGACATGACCTCTCCAACTTTACGTTTGGGTTCAGTGTACCTCTCACCATTCGGTGATCGCTGCCATTTTTCATCCTCGCGATCACCGAAACATCACTGAATAGTTGTCGCCTGGTCGTCATAATGAAGTCAATCTCATTTTTAATCGAACCGTCGGGAGTCGACTAAGTGCACTTTCTGTGGGGCCGCTTCTGGAAGAAAAAGTTCATCATAAAGAGTTCCTTTCTTGCCGTAACCCGAATTTACCTACGTTCAGCTCACCATTCTCTCTTGTGCCTGGTTTTACTTTGGGCTGCTATTAACACCGGCTGTTGGAGGAGTGCATGGCTCTAGTGATATCCTCATATATTTCCTCCACCTCCTCATCAGGTTATGCCGAAGTTGGTGCGTAAACCTGTATGACCTTCAACGAATACTGTTTGGTGATTCTGGGTATAAGGTACGCCACCCTCGTCGTCACACTTCCAATCTTTACAACGTTGTTAACGAAAGATTTTGTGACGATAAGTCCGACACCTCCATGGGCAGATGGTCGCCCTACCGGTGATAGAACAAGTTGCCGGATTTGAGGATAACCGAGTCCTCCCACTTCAGACCTCAGATAATCCTATAATATCCCAGCGCAACATGTCTATCTCTTCTTCCAGCTCCAGAATCTTCTCGTCAGTTCTCAGAGTGCGTGCGTTATTGTTGCCAGGTCGAGACTTCTTAGGTGGCAACCGAACCTTCACCGGAGATTCTTAGCACCCTCTCCCCCGCCGTTACCATGGTCACCTTCGTAGGCAGGAATAGTGGGGCCGCCTTATAACTACCGCCATGGGAGTATATTGCCATATTAGTACAACTATCTATGTATACTAGGTTAAGCTATGGCGGTTTTTGCTTGCAGAATCGACTATTTATCACCCGTCACAATTCTATCCAAAATCCCTTTATTTCTGTACCCACTCATGAAAGCAAGACAAGCTTCAACGCGTGTTCCTCTATGCAAATTAATTATTTCACAAAATACCAATTTTATTATTCACACTTGTATAACGAAAACTGTTCCAAAAATCTGGGAAAATGATACTACTCTAGATTCCATTTCCATGAACAGATCGTTTATTACGTATAAATGAAAGCCATCTATCAACAAAAAATGTAAACTTCTTACAAACTAAATTTTCATCAGTTTAGATTATTGGACACCACTTTTTTGCAAGTGTCGTCTGGTATGGCGATGGTCAATCCGTCTGTCAAGCGTGATTTAGGCAAACCCTCCTTACATTGGGGGAGGCCTATGTTTAGCAGTCGACTTTTACGGGACGCAGAAGACCAATTTTTATCAGCCCATAAACACCTGCAGAGAACTTCAAACAAAGAAGGCTACATATGAGTTGTCAACTCTGAGGACTAAGATGGAATACCTCACAGTCTGTAACTATACTGGCTCTCTATAAGGTTCACCTCGATCACAGCAGCGCACGCACCGCTGTTTAGTGTTAGAAACAGGTTAAGAGTCTTCCGGAGGTTACCAAGACCCACATTGAGGAAAGGAATCGCACCACCTAGTATTTTTAAGTGTTTAAAATTTAAAAGCTCAGCTTAATTCAAATATTTAATCTATCCGCAGCCGGAAAAGCTGGAAGCTAACAAAAATGGTAAGTTACATATTATTATTTAATTTGTGTCCACTATTTTTTCAAATTTTTATAATCACAAGGCCCGACTGAAATGGGCCTGCCAATTTAGTAGTAATATGAAGGAGAGCCGTGGTAGCTCAGGGGCTAATAGCTCGTTGTATTTTTTTATAGGATAAGGGTGACAGGCGAGCACACAGTTCACCTGATGGTAAGTGGCTGCTGTGGCCCATAGACATCTACGTCTATCCTCGTTTGCGAATCAAAATGCAGATGTGTTGTCAGCCGTGAGTAGTCCTCACTACGATGGAATGTCTCTTTTCCAGTAAAAAGGGTCTCCGGTTCTCTACACTCACCATAGGAAACACAACAGCATTAACCTGCTATTTTACGCTAGTATTCTGTGAAAGCGTGGTTCTTCCCCTGTTGAGCCGACCCATTTGTGCTTCGCAGTACGCGAGAAAACGTATAAAATTACAATTAACAATTTGATTGTAAAAAAAAAAATCAAATTGTTCATTGTAATTTTAAATACTGATTTACCACGTGCTCGGTGGCGAAGGAAAATATCGTGATGAAACCTGTATAACTGATTTTTTTAAATCCACTGCTAGTTGACCATTTTAAAGAATACGTCAACTAGCATGCCAATCGTGACAAAGTTTTGAAACAGTAGCACGTGGAGAAACAGTATTAAAAATTGTAGTAAAGAAGTTTGATCGGTAGAGGCACGGGTCGTATTCGGGTTGCTTGTTAATTAGCAAAATGTACCACGTACAGGTTAAGATGGCATTTGGAGAAGAAATAATATCGCTCTTACCCCACGTTCTTTCGTTAACATAAAAATTAAAGGACAAAATATACAATGTAATAATCTTTGGCATAATGTGAGTTATCTTATTTTAAATTCTTTACTCGGTAGCACCACACTGCAACTATGTATATATGCGTGGTAGCAGCGTGGGTTGACTCGACCGGGAAAGGACTGCGCTGTCTATGGGCCACAGCATCGACGTACCATCAAGTAAATTCTCGTTTGTCTTACATCCAAAATCTTTTATTTAAAAAATAGTAAGTTTTAAATGCATGCAATCAAAAACATTATAGCTCCACCAAAGTTGCAAAAAATTGATGCATTTGCTTATATGAGAGCTAGGTCGCATTCACTGACAGAGAAACAAACCCAGCAGCATGAAGTATAGGAATTATCAGACACCGGAAACGTAAGAACAATAAACAAAACAAAAATCAACTTAACAAAAAATACACAGATCCCCAATACGGTTGGTCACCGTGGGGTGATAGACCAATACCCCCTAAAGCTTACAGCAGAAGCATTCAGCGATACACTACCTAAAAAACCATACTCTGAAAGTAAAAAACAAAATTCTAGAAATAGATTCAATATAGCTACACTTAACACAAGATCTCTAAAGTCACAAGAATTTTTATTGGAACTAGAACATGCATTGGAAACCGTTAACTGGGATATTATAGGCTTGAATGATGTGAGAAGAGTGGATGAGAAAACCGAAGAACGCGACAATTACATACTATACCACATTAATGAAAAGGCTGGAATATACGGAGTAGGGTTTATGGTCAAGAAATACTTGAAAAATGAAATATTAGAGTTTCGAGGAATATCAGACAGGATCGCCATTTTGAATATAAACCTCCCTGGCTATAAAAAACCCACTTCAATTGTTCAAATATATGCTCCGACGGAGGTTACCCAGAAGGACATAAAAGATGAATTTTATAAAAAACTCAACCAAATTATGCCGAATCTGTGTAGAACAGTTATTATAATGGGAGACTTTAACAGCCAAATTGGAAAGAGGAATAAAAATGAGAACAATATACTTGGACCGTATTCAACCGGGAAAAGGAATGACAACGGACAAAGACTGATAAATTTTGCATCAGGAAATAACTTACACATCATGAATAGCTACTACAATAGAAAACATAATAGAAAATGGACATGGGTGTCACCTGATGGGAAAACAAAAAATGAAATAGATTACATTCTCACAAACAAACCAAGAGTGTTTTTAAATATTGATGTTGTTAATCAACTCAACTACAACACGGACCATAGAATGCTTCGAGGACAAATGTACGTATTGGAACCGAAAACATCGGGAAAAAACATTAGCAATAATAAAAAACCAATACCTTTACCAATTGCAGACAATATTCTCGAATCATTGGAAAATAATTTAAAAGCAACAAATAATGCCAAAGATGTCCAAGAGAAATATGACACTCTCGTAAACGAACTTAACAAAGTCGAAAACAAAGCTAGAATAAATAAAGACACCAAAGACAAAATAGGTCCAGAAGCAAGAAATTTGATCATACAGAGAAAATCTCTCTATGAAGACAGGAAAATAAACAAAAAGAAGATAGAAATCCTAAGTAAAGAAATAAATCTGCAGATCAGGAAACATAGAGAGAAAAGAAGGAACAATACAATAAACTATTACATAGAAAAGTTGGGAGGAGTCACGAAAGCATGGGATGAGCTAAGAGAAAGTACAAATTGGATAGATAATATGATACACCATAAAGATAAGAAAAATAAGACAAATAGAAAATAAATATTAGAGGTAGCCACGGATTACTACCGTGAGTTATATAGCGACCACGGAAGATCAGGAGAAAACCACCTACTAATTGAATATGATGTAAATACAAGTGAAGAAATCCCTAACATACTGAAAGAAGAAGTATATAAGGCAATCAAATCTTAAAAAAGAGGTAAAGCACCGGGAGAAGACGGCATATCTAACGAACTTCTAATAGGAACGGCTGAAACAATATTAGATGCTATCACAGATTTATTTAACGAAATTTTAATCACAGAATATATACCTCATCAGTGGACTACGTCGACCATAGTACTGCTTCATAAAAAAGGAAAGAAAGATAATATAGCCAACTACAGACCTATTAGCCTGATGTCTAACGTCTACAAAATATTTTCTAAAGTACTGCTAAACCGCTTAACTCAGACTCTGGATGAAAACCAACCTAGAGAGCAAGCAGGTTTTCGTAGTGATTTTTCAACAATAGACCATATACACACCATAAAACAAATTATAGAGAAATGTAATGAATACGGCATTTATTATTATTTGGCATATGTGGATTACAACAAAGCATTTGACTCTTTAAAACACACAAGAATATGGGAAGCACTTGCAACACAAGGAGTTGAGAATAAATATATACGACTAATTAGCAACATATACAAAAACATGAAAGCAAAAATACGAACAGAAAGAGTGGGAGATCACTTCCCTATAAAGAGAGGGGTCAGACAGGGGGATCCACTATCACCCAAACTTTTTACGGCAGTGCTTACATATTTAGACGTCTCGAGTGGAATAAATATGGACTAAACATCAACGGAATCAAACTAAACCATCTAAGATTTGCAGACGATTTAATTCTAATTTCAGAAGATCCAAAAAGCCTGCAAGAGATGCTTGAAGAGCTTGTGTACGAAAGCGACAGAGTTGGACTTTCAATGAACACTACAAAAACCAAAGTAATGACAAACCACGACAAAGTTCCTATCACAGTCAACGACACAAAAATAGAATATGTCGAAGAATATATATACCTCGGACAGATAATATCACCAAAAGATCTTACAACAAAAGAAATAAACAACAGAGTACAGCTAGCATGGAAAAGATATTGGTCACTAAAAGAAATTTTCAAAAACCCACAAATACCACTGAAAGCTAAGAAAAAAATTTTTGATTCATGTATTTTACCCATCATGACATATGGATGTCAGTCATGGAGTTTAACGAAACATAACCTGCGCAAACTAGAGAACTGTCAACACAGCATGGAGAGGAGCATGCTCAACATCAAGTTAAAAGACAAAATAAAACTAGAAACATTACGAAATCAAACTAAAATAAATGATGTAACACACTGTGTAAGAAAACTAAAATGGAAGTGGGCAGGTCATATGATGAGGAATAATAAAGAAAAATGGGCTAAGAACGTTACCGAGTGGTGTCCAAGACAAAACAAACGAAAGAAAGGGAGGCAGCGTCTTAGATGGGAGGATGATATTCGAAAAATTGCTGGAGTTACTTGGAGGAGAATTACCCAGGATCGAAAAGCGTGGCAAGCTCTAGGGGAGGCCTTTGCGGATACGCAAGACAATCACAAAACCGGTGTCTAATAATTAATGTATATATTAAGTTTAATTAAGTTAATATCACCTCATATATTTTTTTTTTCTTTTATTACTTAGTGTTTTCATACGCATATTTTGTAAGATTGTTAAATAAAGGCTATTATTATTATTATTAAGTTTTAAATGCAAATGGAGCCTTGTTGACACAATTGGAGTTTAATTATATTCAATTTTATCATTTTGCGTTAATTACCCGACTGCCCCCGAAGGACAGTAATGTTTTTCCATTGTATTAATGTATGTATATATTTCTCTGGCACGCTTTGTAGCCTAAATGGCTTGACGTATTTTAGCACATTATGGGGTGTCGTTACATTAATTTGTCTTAGTTGTGGAAGTGACATAGGGTATAGTTGTTTTCTTTTCCGTAAACTTTTTACGCAGTCGTTTTTTTAAAATTACTGTTTTAACCTTTATGCTTGTTTCAGATAATATAAAACAAATGACGGTCACGTTAGCGAATTCGCCTACGTCGTCTATACCTAATCAGCGCCTGGATTCCGAACAGGAGGTTTTAACAAATATTTAATACTTACCATTAGTCTATCTAATAGCCTCATCATCATCACCATTCATCATTACAGCCCTTCACAGTCCACTGCTGTACATAGGCCTCCCCCAAGGAATGCCAAAAAGCACGGTCTTGGCCACCTGCATCCATCGACTTCCTGCATATCTTACCAGATCGTCACTACATCTAGTGGGGGGCCGCCCTACACTTCGTCCGCCTGTACGAGGCCGCCACTCGTGAACCTTTTTCCCCCATCGGTTGTCGGTTCTTCGAGTTATATGGCCGGCCCATTGCCACTTCAGCTTACTAATCCGTTGGGCTATGTCGGTCACTCTGGATCTACTGCGGATATCCTCATTTCTAAGTTTATCACGCAGAGAAACTCCGAGCATAGCCCTCTCCATAGCTCGCTGAGAGACCTTGAGCTTCCGCATCCGGCCAGCAGTGAAGGACCACGTCTCAGTTCCATAGGGCATCACTGGCAACACGCACTGGTTGTATAGTCTCGTTTTCAAGTTTTGATGTATACCTGACGAGAAGATGTGCCGTAATTTTCCGAACGCTGCCCAACCGAGTTGAATCCGTCGATTGACCTCTCGGTCGAAGTTGGACTTACCTAGTCGGACTATTTGTCCCAGGTAAACATACTCGTCAACAACTTCGAGCTTAGTGCTCCCATCAACTACCGGCATAGGTGTGACATGGACATTAAACATGATCTTTGTTTTGTCCATGTTCATCTTCAGACCTATCCGTTGAGAAACACTATTGAGGTCATTGACTGCTTAGGTCCTCCAGCGATTCTGCCATAAGGGCTATATCGTCGGCAAATCGAAAGTGAGTGATGTACTCGCCATTGATGTTAATACCTCATCCTTTCCAGTCCAGAAGCTTGAAAATGTCTTCCAATGCAGAGGTGAAGAGTTTCGGGGACATCACGTCACCCTGTCTTACACCTCTCTGCAATTGAATAGGTTTCGTACTCTGGTTCTGTACTCGGATAGCCGTCGTAGCCCTACTGTACAAGCACTTCAGCACTTTGATATACCGACAGTCAACTAGGCATCGCTGAAGGCACTGCAGAACCGCCCAAATTTCGACGGAATCAAAGGCTTTCTCATAGTCCACATACGCCAGACATAGTGGCAAATTGTAATCCTCGGACTTCAGTACAATTTGCCGAAGGGTATGTATGTGGTCTATGGTGCTAAAGCCTTTTCGGAAACCGGCTTGTTCGGCTTAGTCGTCAAGTCTGCGCGTGAGACGATTCGTAATGACTCTCGAAAACAGCACGTAGACGCGGCTCAGAAGGGAAATCGGGCTGTAGTTCTTCAAGAGAGCGTTGTCACCTTTCTTGAAGAACAAGACCACCGCACTTCTGCTCCACGCCTCCGGTGTAATGCCACCATGGAGGACGGAATTAAAGAGCTTCTGAAGGACTTCAAGTACCGTTTTTCCACCAGCTTTCAGAAGCTCCGCTGTAATTCCATCCTCGCCTGGAGCCTTGCCGTTTTTAAGGTGCTGGAAAGCCATTCTAATCTCGCTCAGACTGACGTCCGGGATATCATCAGAATAGTGTCGGATAAGACTCGCTCTTGGATCGTTACTCACACTTACGTGTGGCTCCAACGATGATGTGTACAGCTGCCCATAGAACCTCTCAATCTCACTCAAAATCTCAGGTGTCTCGGAAACGATGCTGCCACACTCGGTTTTCAGCTTCGACAGTTGGCTCTTTCTGGCAGACAGATCTCTAGCAAAGACTTTGCAGCCCTGGTTCCGCTCAACCGCTTCTTCAATACGAGCAGTATGAAAGTTGCGTAAGTCCCGCCGCATGCATTTGGAGATCTGTCTGTTCAGTTGCCTGTATGCTGTCAAATCTACTGAAGACAGCAGCTTCATATCCCGTCTATCAGCCATGAGATTAAGAGTCTGATCGGAGAGTTTTTGTGTTCTTCTGCGGCGGGTCTTGCAAAACTTAGCTCCGACCGCATGGACAGTTTCCACGAGCTTGTCATTCATATCGTCCACTGCATTGCAATCTTCTAGGCACTGAAAACGGTTTTGTAACTCGAGCTGTAAGGTTTCGGGACTTTAGATTAGAGCACGAGGGGGACAAAGCGTTGACTTCATTAGACGTGACCTCTCCAACTTAACGCTTAGGTTCAGTGTGCCTCTCACCATTCGGTGATCGCTGCCGGTTGTCACCCTCGCGATTACTGAGACATCACTGAACAGTTGTCGTCTGGTCGTCATAATGAAGTCAATCTCATATTTTGTCGAACCGTTGGGGCTCAACCATGTCCACTTCCTGTGGGGCCGCTTCTGGAAGAAAGAGTTCATCATAAAGAGTCCCTCTTTCTCCATGAAGTCGGCCAGCTGCTGGCCCCTTGGGTTCCGTTGCCCTATTCCAAATTTCCCCACTTTCAGCTCACCGTTCTCTCTTGTGCCTAGTTTTGCATTGAAGTCTCCCATTAACACCGTATATTGGGTTTTGGAGGAATGCATGGCTCTAGAGATATCCTCATACATTTCCTGCACATCCTCATCGGGGTGTGCCGAGGTAGGTGCGTAAACCTGTATGACCTTCAGCGAATACCGTTTGGTGATTCTGAGTATAAGGTACGCAACCCTCGTCGACACACTCCCAATCTTTACAACGTTGTTAACCAGAGACTTGTGGACGATAAATCCGACACTTTCTTGGGACAGATGGTCGCCCTCCCGGTGATAGAACAAGTTGCCGGATTCGAGGATTACCCTGTCTTCCCCCTCTCTTCGGACCTCGGATAATCCTATGATATTCCAGCGCAACTTGTCTCTCTTCTTCCAGCTCTAGGATCTTCTCATCAGTCCTCAGGGTGCGTGCGTTATAAGTTGCCTGGTCGAGTCGTCGTAGGTGACAACCGAACCTCCACCGGAGATTCTTAGCACCCCCTGCCCCGCTGTTACCATGGTCGCCACCGTAGCCAGGAATAGCGGGGCCGCCGGGGACTGGGGGCCGTTTATTAATATCAATAATTTTATAAATAAATTATTTTAACAGTGGTAGAGCCACGCGGCAGCTTTTGCTGTCGCACGGATGGGCCGGCTCGAACCGGGGTGGTACCACGACCTCACAGAAAACCAGCGTGAAGTAGAGGTTTACCTCTGCGTTTCGCTTGGTGAGTGCAGGTGGCCGGAGGCCCTTTTTACTGGAAATGAGGCATTCCATCTTAGTCCTCACGGGTGACAACGCATCTGCATATTGATTTGTAGTAGAGGATAGATGTAGATGTCTATGGGCCGCAGCAACCACTTACCATCAGGTGGACTGTGTGCTCGTTTGTCACCCTTATCCTATAAAAAAAAAAAAAAAATCATTGCTCATGGGGGGTATATTGCCATAGTTGCCAAGCTTGGCGAGCGGGTTGGCAACCGTAGTTATTTTATTATTGTTTTGCTGTTATCAGAAAGATGCTGCTGCCCATCCTCTGCCTCAGTTTCCCTGTCGCCTCTTCCGACACTCACGGGAAGATTATTCTTACCCGCCACTACATGGGGGGTATCTAATAGTCTAGATACCCCATCTACCCCATCTGAACATAGACCTCCCTCCCCATACTGTCTCATAGGATATTAGCCATAGTTCACACGCTGTACATGTGGGTTGGCAGACGCAGTTTTTTAATTGTTTTGAGTTGTTTTATTAGGAAAATGCTAATGCTGATCTCCTGTTTTAATTATATTTATAATATTTAATGATTCGACACTAAATATTACAATATTTTATGACATCAGTTAATTCAAATCACTATTGACTTGCGGTAGGTAGTCTGTGATACCATATTATTTCATTAAATGGAAAAAAAATTAATAAAACTTATAGAACTTTTTCTGATTGATAATTAATGATTAAGGATTTATCTAAAGATACACCATATTTTGTTAAAAGAACCATGCGTGCTTCTTCAATTCTAAGCCCTTATTATAGCTTTAAAAAGCTATAGAAGCCTGTCCTTTGATCGTCTGTCAATCAATCTTATTCTATCTAGGCTTGGGTAAAAAAAAAACGATATTTTCTCTAGAAATATCGATATATATATATATATATATATATATATATATATATATATCGTCAATATTTTTTTTAAGCTCGATGTATCGATATTTATTTTAGAGCATCGAACTCGTATCATTTCGATATATTTTAAAATGTGTTAATCCACAAAACATTAAGCAACAAAAGCATTCATGTGGTATTGTCATTGTTTTTTCGCCGTCTAACCGTCTAGTAATAAAACTCGTACTTGCTAGCGCAGTGTTGGGGAATTTTGGCGCAATCTAAAGGACACCTGTATGTGAATTTTATATAACTCAATCGTAAAACCAATTATATGAACTGGAGTAGCGTGAGCGGACTCTGCTTTATCACCCTCTTAGAATTAAAAGACCTGTCCTTTAGTTATGACGTTGATACGTTGTTATTAACCAAATTCCAAAAAAGGAGGAGGTTCTCAATGCGACTGTATTTTTTTAATTTTATTTATATTGAAATCGGTTGTACAAATTTTTTAATTTTATCACTTAAGGTTGAAACCGCATTTTAATAAGACTTAAAACTTCTTACATACACATATACATACATACCCTGTTTTTGTTTAAATATATATTATATCCACCAGATTTTTTATCGAATGAAATATTCCTTTACACGCAGATGGTCCCAGATGGTAGGCTTGGGTACAGAATATAGATATTTGTTTTTGAGTATCATATTCGTATCAATTTTGATATATTTTAAAATGTTGTATTACTTGACAAAACATGAAGGAACAAAAGTATTCATGTGCTGATGTCGTTTTTGACATAGTAAATCTTGCAAAACATGAAGATATATCGATATATTTTTTTCACTTGCCTATCCCTACCAGATGGAGTGACGACTGACGACCTGGTAGGACGGACCCCTGCTAGATGGAGTGACAACTTGTTAAAAGATACAGGAAGTCGAAGGATACAGTTAGCTCAGGACCATGCTTTGTGGCATTACTTGGCCTTTGTTCAGCAGTGAACTTCTGAAGGGCTGTAATTAATGAAATATTCCTTTAAAATATTGACAATAATTTCAAATTATTTTTAGATATATACGAATTCGATGTCTAAGCAAAGGAGAGTATCTGGTGAAAAGAAAACTTGATAAAAATTAATAAAATTCTTTCGAAATTGCTGGACTAATTTATAATTTTTATTTGATGGTATAGTTTTTTTAATAATATGTGCAATTTAATTTATTATCCATATTTAAATTTACGTGTTTTTTTTTGTTTAATAAATATTAATTTTGACAAATAAATTAAATTATACCATTCGTAGCTGTTGTTTGTCGCTTCCTAAATATGCAAAAAAAAAAATAAAAGAAATACGTTTTAAAAATTTTATTGAAAATAATAATAAACTCAAATTATATACTTATGGTCCCAAATGACAAAGTACAAACCTACAAACCAAAACAAATAGAATATGCATTTTTAGTCAGCAAAACTGGTTGAGGAAGAGGAATGTAAAAAAATGCGGAAACAGAAGCACCAAAATATTATAAATCTTTAAAATAGCCAACAGCGAATTTATAAAATGAATATGAAGTAAAAATATTTTTTTTATGCTTAGCATAATTAAATAATATATTATAATATTTTTATTTTGTAATTACATTTTGTTACACAACAACTCACACTTATCCTTACCTATAATTAAAAAGTAATACATATTATTATGGTAATTTTAGAATTAGTAATTATTTTTATTAGTTAAATATCAATTTTAAGTAGCGAATATTAAGGGAAGTATGTAATAGAAAATTATTCATTTTTTAATAATATGTTTTCTCATATTGCAACACTTTTGATGTAGGTTTGAATTTATATATATATTTATTGTATGATTATAAAGCCATTACGGGATTAAGTTGTTACAGTGAGTTTTTTTTTCTGTATTTAGTTGTTGCAAACCATAATTGTTCAGTATATTACAACTTTTCATTATATATAACAACCACAATCACTTGGTTATGATAAAAACTTTATTATTAGGTGTTTTAAAAATATAAAATATTATTAAGGTCTATAGCAAATAATTATACGGTATTATTTCTGCATTCAGCTGTATGTTTAAAAATATTGAATAGATGGGTATTTCAACACACAAATGCATTTATTTATACAACTGTTATTTTAGTTGAATACAGGTTAGTGATATTTGTAATAAAATGAATTTCTATCGTAAGTAACAAAAGCCATTTTTAGAGTAATAAGAACACTCCTATGTTATTTTAATATTAGGTAATGAGTTAACAGTCCACCTGACAGTATAGTTATTGCATCTCATGAACACATATGGCCAACTCCATACCAATAAAGGCACAGTTGCATTGTCATCCCTGAGGAATACCAGGTGCAATGTTTGACAGCTTATAATTGGCTCTATTATTGGCACATTGGCTCTCTTACCTTTCAAAGTAGAACACAACCATAATAGGTGCTGATGCTTGGCAAAAAAGTAGCCCAACCATCTATATTAATTAAATAAAAACTTTCTATTTAAGATATATTTGTAACATATAAATAAAAAGCCTTCTGAATAGTCTCATTTGCTTACAAATTGACATTTTTACTAACTGGATAAATTATTGATGCATATAGGAGGCTCAGGACTATGTTTTGTGTCATTCCTTGAAGGGGTTGGCGAGCTATGTTCAGCAGTGGACTTGTGAAGAGCTGTAATGACGATGATGATGATTAACCAATTAATATTTTTTAAAACACCTTATATTTTGACATGTGTATGTCAAGTATTCCATTTTTAATTATCAATCTACTTCCGAGGCTGCTGAATGTGTGTGGTAGGCTTTATATTGATATGTGCTGGGGGCTTTGGACTATGGGCAACTTGTGCCGCTTCCGGAGTGAAATCAGCATTGCCTCTGTTAGGTGCTCCAGAGATAGAGACAGGGTTAGATGGAACTGGTGATGGTCCTGATAACCCAGTTAGATCCTCAATCCCAGGCTCCTTGTAGTCCTTAGGATAGGGAGTCTTGTGTTGTGTGATTCTCATACCACCAGCTTTAACTGCAAAAAATTTGTAAGAATAACTATTAGGTAATTTTGAAATCCTTTAGTTACGAGTGTCTATCACAGGAGACTAGGCCTCTAGAAATGGATCTCTCTTTTTATAGATATTAACTTTTACATTCATCTTTTTATATATACCTTATTATGATTCCAAAATATATAGTTCTGTTTACAAGGAATCAATAAAATGTAAACTAATATTTTACTAATGAAACCTACCATTGATTTATAGATATGATTGCAGAAATTCATTGATATCAAATAAAATAAACTTAACAAAAAAAATTACATCCTACAATTAATCATGTAGTGTTGGTGCAAGACAGTAGTTATAAGAGGCAGGCAGCAGCATTGGCCAACCCACCTAGCAAGCGGGACACTTATGACCAATATACCCTTTGAGGCAATCTATGGGGAAGGCCTATGTTTGGCAGTGGACTTTTAATAGGCTGTAATGATGATGATGAAGCATAGCCTACAATTGTATAGTATAAGTGTATTTTAGAATAATATTTTCTGATGATGTGTTAACGGAAACCTAATGTTACTGGAGCAGAACTAACAAATCCTAACATTATATTTGTCACCTTATCAAAAAGCTAAAGTAACTATTCTTGTGGGGATAAATAATGCAAAAAAAAACATGTTTATGTAACAAAAATACCTATACTAAAATTATCAAGATTATTGAAAATTTTAATATAATATGGTAGCAATTAGATACGGTTGCTAGATAAGAACACTGTTGTTAATATCGAATAGAGTAGTTAATAACAACGGAACGCCGGTCACTTTTTTTTAACCTTGAGACAATATTATATTCTTTGTTTGACAACATTCATTATACCTAATCATACATACCTACCATATATTACCTAGTCACAAATACAACCAAAAATTTATGTCATGTTCGGGAAAATTACAATAAAAGCATACATGAAGCGCAATAGTATATTATAATTATGAAAATTTACACTATAAACAAAACATTTACAACTGCGGCCCTGTTTTCTTGCACCTGCATTTGATGTAGAGGTCAAAGTCAACATATAAAGTCAAAACTTACCTGCCGGAGGGTGTCCCGCTTTAAGTTGGGAAGTTTCTTCGGTAGACGACATATTTGTTTAAAATCGAAGTTGAAACTTTAATGTGCGACGGAAATCTGTTGCAATTTTATCGTAAATAATAGTGATACGATGACAACGTGTAAGCCACAGAGTACTTTTTATTTTCAGTATATTAGTGTTCCTTAAACATCGATAGACTATCGATTAATCGATAGTGTTTGCACTATCGATTCTATCGATAGTCTGGTTAAACTATCGATTGTCTTCTTTATCGTAATTTTGTCTATAGTAGATGTCTCCCTTTAGCCTAAGGTCAGAAAAATCCCTGTAAATAAACTGTTTGTGTTGTGTGTGTGTGTGTGTGAATAGCTAATTAATATGTGTGACGCTGACGTAAGTCGCTATTTGTGTGAGTGGCAGATCTTGCGTTTTATAGTTTACTGATTAGTTTTGTATTTGACTTCATAATGAATCGAAAATTTATCCTAAAAATCAATCATTAATGTGGAGTTATTTCTAGATAGTGGACAGTAATAGTCCGTTTGTAAAGTGAAACTTTTATAATCGGGAATATAAGCATTTAGGAAATACGACCAATCTAAGAGATCACTTGTAAAGAAAGCATGCCGATAGAATAGATAGATTTGAATCGCAAGAGGGATCATCGTCTGAACATCAAGTTCAAGGATGAAGTGCAACCAAAAAAAGTTCTTTTAAGAATTATTTTAATAGAAGTCAGTTGTTGAAGACAAAGGCTATTGTGACTTTCCTTCACAGTTCTACACTAGCCAGTGACAAATTGCGTATTTCTCAAAGACAACAAAAAAATGCAATAATTACTTATTGTTATTTTATTTGTGATACCTGCTGAAAGACAATCGATAGTCTATCGATATATCGATGGTCTTGATTACTATCGAATACTTCAACAATCGATGTTTAAAAAACACTACAGTATATATAAAAGGTACATACTCTGTGTTTTTTATTCTACAGATACAGACCAAAGAGTATAGTAGTGATGAGTCAACTCGAGTTAACTGGAGTTGGATCTTCCTAACTCGAGTTTGGGCTGCTGAAACGGATTAAGTGAGCCAGCAAAAAGTAAGCGCGCGATTCGTTCGTTGTGTGCGCGCTTTGTGTATTAAAGAGTATTTGGCTACAACCAAAAAAATTTGCTATTTAGAATTGTATAATAGCTAAGTTATGTGATTTAATTTCTTTTAAAATTTTGATTAATTTCCTTTTTTTTATTTAATTAATTTAATTTAATTAGGAGATTCGGTTGCCACCTACGATGACTCGACCTGGCAACATACAACGCACATACCCTGAGGACTGATGAGAAGATCGTGGAGCTGGAAGAAGAGATAGACAAGTTACGCTGGCATATTATAGGATTATTCGAGGTCCGAAGAGAGGGGGAGGACACGGTAATCCTCAAATCCGATAACTTGCTCTATCACCGGGAGGGCGACCATCTGTCCGAAGGAGGTGTCGGATTTATCGTCCAGAAGTCTCTCGTTAATAACGTTGTAAAGATTGAGAGTGTGTCGACGAGGGTTGCGTACCTTATACTCAGAATCACCAAACGGTATTCGCTGAAGGTCATACAGGTTTACGCACCAACCTCGGCAAACCCCGATGAGGAGGTGGAGGAAATGTATGAGGATATCTCTAGAGCCATGCATTCAGTTACAAAACCGTTTTCAGTAGCTATAAGACTGCATTGAAGTGGACGATATGAATGACAAGCTCGTGGAAACTGTCCCTGCGGTCGGAGCTAAGTTCTGCAAGACCCGCCGCAGAGGAACACAGTTTTTAATTCCGTTCTCCATGGTGAGTGCCACCGTATTACACCGGAGGCGTGGAGCAGAAGTGCGGTGGTCTTGTTCTTCAAGAAAGGCGACAACGCCCTCTTGAAGAACTACAGACCGATTTCCCTTCTGAGCCGCGTCTACGTGCTGTTTTCGAGAGTCATTACGAATCGTCTCACACGCAGACTTGACGACTTTCAGCCTCCCGAACAAACCGGTTTCCGAAAAGGCTTTGGTGCCATAGACCACATACATACCCTGCGGCAGATTGTACAGAAGACAGAGGAGTATAATCTGCCACTTTGCCTTGTGTATGTGGACTATGAGAAAGCCTTTGATTCTGTTGAAATTTGGGCGGTGCTGCAGTCCCTTCAGCGGTGCCAAGTTGACTGTCGGTATATCGAAGTGCTGAAGTGTTTGTACAGTAGAGCTACGATGGCTATCCGAGTACAGAATCAGAGTACGAAACCTATCCAACTGCAGAGAGGTGTAAGACAGGGTGACGTTATATCCCCGAAACTCTTTGCATCTGCATTGGAAGACGTTTTCAAACAACTGGACTGGAAATGATGCGGTATTAACATCAATGGCGAGTACATCACTCACCTTCGATTTGCCGACGATATAGTCCTTATGGCAGAATCGCTGGAGGACCTAAGCACTATGCTCAATGACCTCAATAGTGTCTCACAACGAATAGGTCTTAAGATGAACATGGACAAAACAAAAATCATGTTTAACGTGTGTGTGACATGGACATATTCTGGTAGTTGTTGGGAGCACTAAGTTCGAAGTTGTTGACGAGTATGTTTACCTGGGACAAATAGTCCGACTAGGTAAGTCCAACTTCGACCGAGTTGTCACACGAGCTGTCGCTGCTCTCGTCGTGGTGCCGTATGTGGTGTCGGTTTCGATCGCGGACCGTGTTCACCACGTGAGTCTTCATTCTAGCAACCTTGCGGTCGTCCAGTTTCGTATGCAAACATCACGCCGCACTGGACTGCCATATCGTTTAAAAATCTAGATGGCAATTCTAGCTCCGGAGCTTCGGTGCGTTTCGATTTAAATTCGTACAATTTATATTTTAATATAATACTTAGCTTTTCTACAACTCGACTTACTATCTCAGGCGAGTAGAGATATTGCGGCTGATTGAGTGATTTTATTGCCGGTATTGTGTTAGATATTTTGCTCGCGAAACTACCGATATTGTGCCCATTTTCAGTCATGCGAGGCATGCGTTTTATATTCTCTAATTCGGAAAGCATTAATAATTCCGGCTTTCCGTAACGCCTTTCTAACGTGTCCATGACTTCATATGGGTCCAATACTGTGAATAGTAATGTTCTAACCGTTTCGCGAGCCGCGCCTCTTAACGCTTTGCGTAACCTGGCTACATTTTGTACGTCAGTAAACATGCTTACTGTGTCGTTGAAGACGGATTTGAAAGCCATCCACTCTGAAATCGCCCCGTCGAAATGAGGTAGCTCGTGATGGTATTTCGGTGCCGTAAAGTCCGATTTGCCTGAATTTACTGCTTGAACAATCGCGTTGGCCAGCATCGCCATGTCGCTACTATTATTATTCGTATACGTCACGTCTATACCCATGCGCGATTTGTGGTTGTTTGTGTTAGGTGGCCGTGCGATTGGTCCCGAGGGTCGTGCTTTACCTAATATTGCCGGTCTATCGTTTATATACTGCTCCAAAATCCAACCTTCAACACGCGACTCTTCTGCTCTGGACGGCGGTACCGCGTCGTTGGAGTTTTCTAGCTCTATTCTGGCTATTTCGAAACGACTTAAGGCTGCCGCCCTAGCCTGTGCTAATGTGGAATTATGTAACTCTAATTCGGCTTTTAAAATAGATAATCGACTATTCACCCTGTCCTCGGAGACATTTACTACTGTGCCCGGCGTACTCCTATCCTGCGTATTTAAATCATCAACTTGTACGGACCTATTTTCGATTACTGCTCCTGTCGCGTTACCGTTACTACGCGTGCCACTGTCACCGTTTATATGCTCTGTGCCGATGCCCTTACTCCACGTACTTGTTTCTGTTGAACTTGTCTGCCCCGACGCCGGTGTGGCGTCTGTGATAGGCGTGGATTTGCCTGAACGTAATATACGTGTATTTTCCATAGCGCGCGAGGGTCCCTAATCCTACCAATTACTAAAATTTAACACTTTTTTCACTTTATCACTTTCACTTAAAATTTCTACCCTACCTACCTAACGGGTCTGGCCGGACTCCTACCGTGGTGATGCCGGACCAGGGATGGAAACTAATGAGGAAAGGAAGGTGGATACCTTACGGTTGAGGGCGCGGGCGCTCACGAGTGCATCAAAGTGCGGTGGGAATATTCCACACTTATCGTTGTGTGCCAACCTGTGGCCCCAGAACGTAACCGCACCTTGCCGGCGGGGTCTATATTACCTAAAAGTACGTTCTTGATGGCCGTTAACACCACAATGTGGCCACGTACTTATGATGACTGCTTCCAAGTAATTAGCAGTGGTTATGTATGACCAACAGCTAACATTCGCGCGTTCTTGTTTCTTTCTTGCTTTCAGACGTGGAGAAATGAAAACTTCTTGCTTTCTTGACGTGGAGAAATGGAAACTTCTTGCTTTCTTGACGTGGAGAAATGGAAACTTCTTGCTTTCTTGACGTGGCGAAATGGAAACTTCTTGACTGCAGGCTTGTTTCAGGGATCCGGCTCTCGAAGGACCACTAAACTAAGTGGAAGCTTTATGCAGGGCTCCGTATCGTTCAGACGTAGACTTCTTCATGACCATAGGTGATATGTGAAGTTAAATAAAACTATTGTTTACATGAAAACAAGAGCTGCTTTGTAGAGTGTAGCTTGTTGGGGCAACGTTGAGATGACTGTTGAGCTGGCTGCAGAGTGAATGATGAGCGAGTAACGAGTAATGAGCTGGTAATATCAGAGGTCGATCACAGCATGTCTTTTATTTCGTTCGGTTAGTTGCACAACTCGTTTGAGCGCATGTGAGGCACACATGCTCTATTCGACCAATGAGCGGGTAGGAGGGGAGGTGTGCGGGGTGTGTGTTGAGTGTGACTCATAATTTATTTTATAATCATACATACGTTTTTTTACAAACAATTATTAATAAGTACATAACAAACACTATAAAGACGTACGTCTTAAATCTAGGCTGTTATTTACAGTACTTATATCTTCGTATATGTTGTCACAGGAAGAAT